ACAATTGTTCATAATAATGGGAACTTTTCATATCATATAGCAGATTACGAGTTTGACCACGATTACACGGTTTACAAATTGCGAGGCTTCCAAAAAAGGAAATATATGATATATAATACGAAACAAAAGACTATACGCATACAAATAAACTAAATGAGGCGTGTCCAAATGAAATAACAAAATCCGCCTAATTGTAATTTTCTTTCGGTTTCCATCGCGCCGGGGTTCGAACTCACTACCCCTCCCCCTACTCGCGGAAAAAACCCAATCTTTATTCCCGGCCCGTATTGGCTGTAGGCAAATGCAAGCCATGAAAGTTATCTTTCATTGTTCCTATACATGGATTCGGGTTTTCAAGTTTCAAAGAAAACTATCAATATACAAGTCCACGTTTTGTTTCGTCAAAGTACATAAAACGATGATAATTGTAAACGACAAAGATAAACAATTAGAGAAATGAAAAAAAAAAGAAAGATTTTGCTTAATTCATAAAAAAAAACCCAAACAATTTAAGGTGTTTTATAAAAAATAAACTAACATTAAGGTGATCTTTTTTTCTTTTTCTTTTTTAACATTTTGGAAATGCCATAACGTTGCGGACAGATATAAACCACTTTATTGAGAATCTGGTCGATTTAGAATTTCACATATTGGATAGAATTCTGTCTACTGTTGAAGACCTTTTGTCTAACTCTAAATGTCTTTTGTGTCATTGGGTTGATGTTTCATTTACGCATACCACTTTTCTCCTTTTATTCATATAAAAATATAAAAAATGAATAAAACACTTTCATAGTTTTTATTTAAGAAAACATCCACATAGAAGTACATTGTCTTACCTCCTATACATTTCTCGGAATATGATTGGTTAAAAGCGTCCGCGTGGAGACCGTGTATATTCCATATTAGGTTAGTAGGGAGGCGGGGCTTATTTCATACACGGTTAGTAGTGGTGTTACGTCCCTTTATAAAAACAAAACGGTACTGAGAAAAAATCTTAAAGGTTTCAACAGACGAAGAAATTGATGATGAAAGATTGAAATAAATTCATAAAACACATTTAAACCTAACAAGTTGTTATTGTTGGCATCTGTTTTTGTAGGATCAATGGATGTACTTTCTTAATGCTAACGGTATTGAAGATTTGCTCATGTTAATAGGTCTTTAACGTAAATTTCACACGTTAAGATAGTCGGTAAGATAAATTCGTTACATAGTGTGCTAGTGACGTAATACGGTATATATGGGGTCAGTAAATCCCATATGGGGATTCGAGCTTCGCTCTCACCCCATATGGAATTTACTGACCCCATATATACCGTATTAGGTCACTCACCCCATATGGAATTTACTGACCCCATATATACCGTATTAGGTCACTAGCACACTATGTAACTAATAATATCATGTCACAGTTAAACCTAGTACCCTTAATAGGAGTAGCTTTGCTGACTTCATACATATCAATGAACGGGTTACAAAGGCGTAGCTTTGCTGACTTCATACATATCATACAATGCAGTGATTTGATAGCAAAGTCAGTAGAATTTATGTCTTTAACGGCGCTATCATTTCTTTGTTACTGAATCTGGGGCAAATAAATTAAAAATATAGATCGATAGCATAAGACATTGAAAAGTAAGGGATTTCTGTAGGGAGTTCGTATACCTCACAGTTGTTTTGATACCCTCATTAATAATTTTCTTAATAATAGCATGAAAAGTCAAAATTTGTTCTTCGGTCCTCCTGAATTACATGCTGTTCATATTATTACTACATTATGGATTAATTTCATTTAAGTTGAATAAGAATTGAAATCTAATTTTGAACTTAGACAAAGTTAACGCAATCTTGAAATGTCTGCAAAGGGATAATATACAGAATATTTTGACTGACATGTCTGAACTAGAGCTTATTCAATGCAAAAACAAATTGGACACAGATTTGATGCTCTTAAACAAGCAATTCGAATTAGGAATTTTTCGCCAAACATCTTCCATCTTATTAAAGCTGACAGTCATTATCAGAGGACATGATTTTCCTTTTCTAACAGATGTAGTATTCTATTTTGTTTGTTAGAGACGTATATGACGTTAAAAAATGGGCAGATACACATTTTATTCCAACAAGGCAATAACTCATCCTTAAACATTCACATCACATTTTTTCCCGCCATAATTATTTTTTCAGTTTTGCTTCAATTAATCGAGTCCCTAGTTAAGGTGTACATGTCCGTCTGGTACTGTAGTTTTTATCAGACCTTGAGCTCATTTTCATGGTTCATTGGCCATTGTTAAATGTTTGTTGTTAAGTCTTAGATACCTTAATCTGGGACTATTATACTAATCCAGAATCTATGGATCCGATGATTATATTTCATGTATGGAGTGATTGCAAGGTGTACATGTCTGTACGATAGGTATAGTCTGACCTTGAATTCATTAATTTTCATTGTTCATTGGTTATTGTTAAGTTTTTATGGTGACATGCTTAACAATATATCGACAACATTTTGTGTATGGAATCATTGGAATTTGTCTGTTTGTCATGTTCATCTGACCGCCTGAATTCTTTTGCATATGGTGCTTTGATGTTTATTTGTTCTGATTATGTCGATCTGTTCTCAGATACTATGATAAATAGGGCAAATATTTTAAGTGTGTGGATGATTGCAAGGTTTTCATGTCTGTCTGGACTTGAAGGGTTCATCTGACCTTGACCTGAATTTCATGGTTCATTGATCAACGATAAGTTTTCGTAGCTATAAGTCTCAGATACTTTAAGCAACATGTTAACTCTATTTGGTGTATGGAATTATTGTAAGGTGAACATGTGTGTCTGGGAGGGTTATCTGACATTGACCTCATTTACATTGATAGTTGATATTGTTAAGTTTATGTGAAATGTGTAGAAATAGCCTTTATCGTTTTCTACACAAATCTAATAATAATCAGTAAAGCAGGCAAGACATATCCGTGTGTGAATTCTTGTTTAATTTCTGGTCAAATTTTCTATATAAGGAATTGTGTCAGGCAGCTTCAAGTTGAGACAACAGCAGTTCTGAATAAGGCAATTTGATAGAAACATATACATTTTATTTTATTTGTACTTGTAAAGAAAGTTAGCATTTACTTGAAGAATATGTTTTCAACATCTAAATTTACTACAGTATATAAAATCGATGTTCTGTTATAATGGATTACATAACAATGACATGTGATCAAAGTTTTTAACAATTATAGATAGCTGTCGATCACTTTGGAAAACGTATTAAATTTTACAATAGATTTCAGTTACCAATTAACCCATCCTTGTTAATGACTTAAAAAAATTCTTGATCTTATACATAAATATAGATTATTCTCTATCTAATATAGTTTTCGCTCAAAACTCAAACAGTGGGTAATTTAGCATTCAAGTCCAATAACTCTTATAAGAAGTTTACTGATAGTTTCTTCTTTGTTTAACATTGTAGTTCTCATCTTGCAGTTTATTTTTGCTTTTAACTTAGTTACTTATGAGTGTTAAACATCAGACACAAAAACTTAATGCTCGAAGTCAGACAGAAAAAATCTCTTAATTTCTACCTTCTATAGTTTTTTGGTCCAAAACACATTATTTTAGAGCATGTTATGTGGTATGGGTTTTGCTCATTGCTGAAGGGAATAGGGTGACCTATAGTTGCTAACTTGTAACTTCTACATTATTTGCATGGTCTGTGTTGGAAAGTTGTCTCATTTGCAATGATACCACATTTTTTTATTTTCAGTAAAAAATGGTAAAAATCATCATTTCCTGGGCAATAACTTTAACAAGGAGTCGACTGACAATTTTGGCTACTTGACTTTTAGATACTGTACTGCTCATTATTTTTGTTTTTTTTAAGATTTTTTCTTCCAAATCTATTGTTTCACAAAAATGGGTAAAAATCATAATTAAAGGGCAGTAACTCATATGATGCAATGGCCAATTTTGGTAATGTTGACTTATTTGAAGATTTTGACTTGCTGATCGTTTCTGCAGTTTTACTCTATCTACTATAGTTTCACAAACAATGGGTAAAAATCATGATCTAAGGGCATTGACTTCTTTAAAAAGTCAACAGACAATTTCAGCCTGGTTGACAAATTTGTAGAAATAGCCCTGCTGATGATCTTTTTTTTTTCGGTTTGTTCACTTCCCAATAAGTGTTGAGTTCTTACTACATGTAGACATGTTAACCCCATAACATGCATGCATGTTTATATCTTGAATTTAAAGTCAAAATCTCACAATTGGTTGTTACTCAATGCTTTTGTATATCAAACATGTAAAGTTGGTGTAAGATATGTAATTTGTATTTTTTTTTATTAGATTTATCATTACCTGTCTATCTCACTCAGTTTAATGTTTCCTTATTAATATCTCCATGCAATAGATGTTTGAATGCTAGTTCAACTGCATACCAAGACCATAACTGAATGGACAGTGACAAATAATCTCCATTCAAATGAAATGTGCCAATGTCAATACAACTGCATGCCAGATATTACTGACTTACCATTAGTGGTTCTCCTTAACCAGAACTAATCACAAAATAAATCTTCAACAAATGTTGATGCAAAAGACATCTTGGGAAGCATTATTTTCTAAGTCTCACTCAGAAAGCTTTGTTAAAGATTGATTTTAGACACTGTCATTGAAAATAAGCACAATTTGTGAAAATAGATAAATTCATCATTGTACATGTACTTGATGAGCAGTCAGACGCTTTATCTTAATTGATATATGCAATCACACAAGGTAACAGTCAGCATAACAAATTATTCCTTTCTTAAAGAAGAGAAGACTTACTCCTAAATAGTTGGTGCATCCTTTAGGGAGAAACTGCTTTATACATTATCTGAAGTGTTTTTCATCTAACCGGGTTGGGAATCAAACCAACAACCCCACCCACTCATGGCAACAGTGCAACCATGAGACCTCTGAAGCTCTGTTGAAATAAGATAGAAAGTCAGAACTGTAACAGATAAATAATTTATTTATAAGACATCAATGTCTGTATATACATAAAAAAGTTTAAACATAATATCACAATCAGCTTTATTGGTACAAGACATCCACTAAATGATTGGACGAAAAGGTCACATGACATCAATGATACTGTAATAAACAGCTAAAGAGAAGATGTGTTAACTATACAGAAACAGGACTTTGGCTGAGTGATATCGGTTCAAAACTGGTTTGGTTTCACGGTGTTAAGTCCATTGAATATCCTTTCTAAGTCACAATTTTTCCCCAGGAAACTGATTCTGGTTAAAAGAACACTTCTGAAATGTATAAATCCTGATCGTTTATAAATTCCCCCCCATTGTTTTTTTACATGATTGTCTAATTCAACATACAGCTTTCATATGTGGGAACCATGTATTTGATATTAATAAATGCATCTTCACCACCATGTCTCTCGAAAGCTTCTAATGTTTCCTGTATTAAATCTCCAATGTTTTCTCTTTTTTGTTGACTGTAGTCAATGCCATCTCCTGAGTTAACTGAAAATTTTAAAACAAAAAATGATAAGTACATTATCTATCTCACACCCAAATATTTAACAAAACATACAAATAGTTTGGTATTGTTTGGTCCATAATAAATCTAATTTATGTGTATTGCAGACAACAAACTTTAATATTAATAAGTTTTGGTATTTGAATAATACTTTTAGGACAATTGCTTCTGTTTATTGCCATGATTTAGTCTTGTGTTTTTTATTATCCATTGATGGTACAATCTCAGTCTATTTAATGAAAATTTTCAAAGTCCATTGCAAGCAAATTTTCTAAGCAATAGTTCAAATGGCCATAAAGAACTACATGTATTGTCACTCACCTAGCAACTTTGACAAGTTTGAAATTAAAATAATTGAATGCAAGCCTGGTTCAAATTAATCCTTAGGATTCAAGGGAAATAACTTCTGTATTTTCGTATATTGTGACTGTTAAAATGGTTGTTACCAGATTAATTTAATCAATAATTATTATTGGAAAATCAATGGATTTTTAATTAGAGTTGAAGACGTGTTGGATCATTGTCTCTATCTCTGACATACAAGTATACCCTACACTTCCCTTTTTTTAAATTTACCTCAATGCCTTTTGAAGTTTAACATCAGTGCTCCAGCTAGAAATCAAAAGGGGCAGGGTACACACAGTAAAAAGTTAACCTGCTAGAAATCAATCTTATGACTTAATGGAGAGTTTTCACAGTAGATACAGGGTAAAGTAATAAGTGATTCGATCTGAATTTTCCCAAGTGTTTTAAGACAAAATATTTATTGAGTATTTTTTACCCATCGATCATTATTTCTGGTAAATCACTAGATACTAACAAGAGTATTTTTTATCAGAATCTATATAATAAAAATTTACTTACGGTTATAATTTTTAAAGATATTCAAAATAGGCAGGATTTGTCTGTAATAAGGCACTAATGCTTCTCCAACCATGTCTGCTGATATTACCAAATGTTGTAATACTTTCAGTGTGGTGCACATCACTTGGATGTTTCTCATGTTCAAAGCATCTGAAAAAGAACAAAGCAATGAATAATCTATTCAAAACAAAACTCAAATGAGACATTAAACAATACTGCATTGTGACAATATTTACAATACTTAATTTAAGTTAAACATGTTGAATTTAGTAATAACCTAAGAAATAGCATTTTTTCTGTTAGACATAATTAGGAGACTGGTTTTTGTGTATTGCCTCTACAAGTATCAGGTTAAGGCAATCTTACTGACTGTATCCTGAAGCTAGTAATATACACTGTACAATTAAAAGTGTTAATTATCTTCATTTAATCTAAATAAGTTTGAATTATATGATCAACTTTTTAAAAAGCCTTTTAAATAATGATAAACTTAAAAATAATAATTAAATGTAAGAATGTATGTCCTTTTGTTTTCCTCATAATGGTTATTTAAAAAAATTCTTTTAGAAAACATATATGATGTGACCATCATCATCATGTGTAGTTTTTTTGGTCTATTATTAACTTACTTTTAATTGGAATGATTAACTGAGGTATGACTGGCAGTATTTTTGAACCTCCGTGCTCCAGCATATCATGTACCCCTTGTCTGGCAAAGAATTCGTATGGATGTGTTGTTTCACACAGACCATCAAAGAATAATGGCAGGTAATGGTGATAATCTAACTTTTCAATCTCAACCTGTAAAACAACAACAAAAAATCATCAATACATACATTATTAATTAAAAATACATGTAATAAATATGTATCTATAAAGTCATTGCTTTCACAAATTTCATCAGCAGTTAACACAAATCAAAAACTGTAAATAAAAAAAATATTATTAAGGTTAAATTGAATTGGGAACAGACTACAGTGAATTCCATTACCACTTTTCACATTACTAATGGAGGATACATGTATCTAAGACAGGGAATTACTTGTCAAATTTAATTTAGAGTTTTTACGATGCTTGATTGCAGCAAACTAAAAAATTCAGCACAATGTCTTCTACAGTCACTTCAACAGATTGATGAATTCACCTTCAAGTTAAATTTATATAAAATTTATCTTACCTTCCAGGCAATTTTGTTTCCTTTTGTATCATGTTCCAAGGCTATTGGAAAGTCACCCCTTTCATAAAATTTTCTGAAAGCTGTAGGACCTGCAGGTCTTGGTTTGAATGCTCCTGCTGCTTGTGGTTTACCTACTTGCTCTAAGGATGGCTGCAAAAATAAAATATTTTTATGACTTTTTTTATACAACTTTAAAACAATATAAAGAAATATAGGTGTTCCTGATCTTAGAGGTAAGAATGAGATGATAATCCAATATTATATATACAAAATATAATACATTTGTATCTTGTGTCCTATAGTATAAATTTAACGGCCTTCTTTTACTTTGGGGGTAGGGTTCATTTATTGTTCAGGGTTAGGTTTTTTCCTACATTAAGTTAAGGTTTAAGTGTAAGGGTTAGAATAACCCTATCAGGTTTGGGATCCCTAAAGTAAAAGAATAGATCAGAATAGAATGCAAAATTAAAATATCTCCCTTAACAGGTAATCCTGCAATCTATTATGGTCTATTTAAAATTGTAAAGTAACAAATGTATGAAAGCCATATTTTAGGTAAAAATATGTCAGACAAGTGCATATGTATATCTGCTCTTTGGTCGGGTTGTTGTCTCTTTGACATATTCCCCATTTCCATTCTCAATTTAATACATTAAGCTTCTATGAACTGAGTAGAAAAATCCTCATATTATTAGACATTGCAAAAAAAAGGAGAAATTTCTAAATCTATATTTAAACCTGCACTTACATGAGTGATTAGTTGAGACTTTGATTATGTTAATATTGATTTTGTCAGAATATTGACTCATATTGACTCATCTGAGCAAGTGAGATTTATTTATTTAGCACCCTGACATTTTATGCTAAAAAAAGTCCTGAATGTTGTAAGCTTATACACAGTAACCTTATCCTGTTTGTGCTTTATTTCTATGGTTTTACCAGTCAGTCAAAAGTTCATTTTCTATATGTTGATTGTAAAACCAGACTTTAAATACATGTTATAAAGATTTTAATTTTGAATAAAAAAATGATCAACTGTAGTAATAAAAAGGTTGCACAAGGTAGATCCTCATTAATGATATAGTATTATACCAAACAGGTATTCAGTTTAGTGATTAAAAGTAACTTTGGATTTCAGTAAATGTTGTCATGGCAAAAAAATAACATTCATGTAAAAGGCAACATTATGCCCTCTGAATTAATATGATCTTGATAAAAATGAATGGACTTTCAAGTAATATTAATTTTCAAAGCCAGTAACTTTTATTCAGTTTCATTTGAACCTTGGTCTTTTAAGGGGGAAATGTTACCATAAATATGATTAACATGAAAGTTTTGTGCAATGACAACCATATAATGAAAAACAAATTTAGAAACCATGTGAAAATAATTACAAGTAAACCTGTCCAATTCATTTAAAGTGCCCCATGTACTGCCAATTACAATGTTGTTTAAAAAAAAAATAACCTAATATTTCTGACCCATCAAACAACACTGATACAATACATCGATCTATATACTGTATGAAGATAGTTTGACTGTAAAGTATTTCTTCTCAAATACTCAGTAATAAAACTATTAGTAAGTATGTTTTACCTTTGCGTTCTTCATATATGCCATTGTTGTGAAGGCATTTTTTCCTTTTGTTTCTGTTGGAGGTGTCTTCTTTCCATATCCAAATGTTTTCTTGCTGTTGTCTGGTCTTGTTTCAAAAAGCGACATTTTTGTTTTATACTTTTTTTCAGCCTGACGGCAAATTGATTACAATTAAACAAATCTATGCAACTTTCCAAATGAAAACAAACAGGTAACAATAAAATGGAGGCTTATACAATCTGGTAGTCAGGCAACTGTCAGAAACTGACCCGGATGACTGGCTTTGTCGTACTAGTTTCCATGGGGAAAAGAAATATATTTCCGCTTCCGGTCATGTCCGCGCATGTTATTGAAGCTAAACTTCCGGTGTCTGAAAACATGCAGAGAACACTCACATTCTCCAATTTATGCAAACATTTCAATAGATTTTCAACAAATTCAACTGCTACATTATCCACACTTTTCCGTACAAACAGCATATTTATTATAGAGAAAAACCATATTGAAAAAGACAAAGGAGTAGCTCCAAGTTGTCTTCTGAAAAAAAATGGTAATAAAATTGGCTAAGTTTTTTCCTTTTTGGGGTATTAGTCCAAATAATTACGACGTCTTTGACAGCTATTTTATTGTATTTGCTGTGATGATGCAGGATGCATCCCTTCATAAAATTAAAATAATAGAAAAACAAAAGGATATGGGTATATCCATCTATGACACATAATCAATACTTGCACAGCAAAACAAACAAAAAGCAAAGGAACAGACTTTCAAGACATCAAAATTATTTGGAGTTAGGGTACATGCATTCATGAGGTCAGTTCACTTAAATTACATGATGGCCCATAGAGTGTATTGGGCCTATTTTCAAGAAGAAGAAAAATATGAAAAAAACGAGTGTTATTTCTGGGACTATTATGTTAGTATAATCAAGATAATAGTCCCAGGTTATTTAATTTAATCACAATATAAATATTGTGTAATACATGTACATGTATTTCTTTAAGATTTGAATTATTTAATAAACATTTATTAGGCAATTAAATATTATTATCATAAATGCATCTTCTGTCAAGAATGCATTGTGGGAATATCAAGACTATATTACAGAAAATGTAACAGTTTGTAAAGTTTACACAAAGGACTTGTCAGTACATTTGCTTATCAGTTTGTTAAGTTAATAATGTAATTTGTCAAAGTAGTTATGAAAAATAAATACTTGCTAGTTTAATTAGCACCAATAATCAACACGTCTATATACTGAATTATTGTTCACCTGACAGTTTCTTAATTGTTTAGTTTGATTGATTGACTGATCAATGCCAGGTTAAGGATTCATGACATTCTACATGTTTTTGACAATTTTACTTTTTATTTTCCAACATAAATATTTTTACTTGTTCTGATTTCTAAAGAAAGTACTTTTATGTAACCTGGAAATATCTGAGGCCAAATAAAAAAATATGTGTGTTTCCTATTTCCCTACCTACCCTATATTTTAAGCCTAATAGAAATAGCCTACCTTAAATTTTTTGTTGTTGTCATTTTTCAATAAGCACTGTTAAAGTCAGAATTTCTCTCCCATAAACTCAATGTAAAAAAAAAATTGTAAAATAAAAAAAATTCCCTACCTATCTACCCTATTTTTTTCAAAGATGTAACAGGAAACACACATATTTTATTTGGCCTGAAAGAAAAAACTTCAAGATGAAATGTTGACTAAAATCAGAGACATATAATACTATTGTACATCGTCGTCGTCCGAAGACATATTGGTTTTCGCACAATAACTTTAGTTTAAGTGAATGGATCTCTATGAAATTTTACCATAAGGTTCAATACCACAAAAGGAAGGTTGGGATTGATTTTGGGGGTTATCGTACCAACAGTTATGGAATTAGGGGCCAAAAATAAGCATTTTTGTAACTTCCAGACAATAACTTGTGTGTTAGTGTATGGATCTCTCTAACATTGTACCACAAGGTTCCATATCACAAAGGGAATGCTGGGATTGTTTTTGGGGGTAATTGCCTAAAAATTTTAGGAATTAGGGGCCAAAAAAGGGGCAAAAAACAAGCATTTTTCTAGTTTCATGACAATAACTTGTGTGTAAGTGTATGGATCTTTCTGAAATTGTACTACAAGGTTCCATATCACAAAGGGAAAGCTGGAATTGAGTTTGGGGGTAATTGCCCAAAACGTTTAGGAATAAGAGGCCAAGAAGGGGCCAAAGATGAGCATTTTTCTAGTTTCCAGACAATAACTTGTGTTCAAGTGTATGGATCTCTCTGAAATTGTACTGCAAGGTACCATACCACAAAGGGAAGGCTGGGATTGATTTTGGGGGTAATTGCCTCAAAATTTTAGGAATTAGGGGCAAAAAACAAGCATTTTTCTAGTTTCAGGACAATAACTTGTGTGTAAGTGTATGGATCTTTAAGAAATTGTACTACAAGGTTCCATATCACAAAGGGAAAGCTGGGTTTGAGTTTGGGGGTAATTGCCCTAAACGTTTAGGAATTTGGGGCCAAAAAGGTGCCAAAAAACAAGCATTTTTGGGTAAAGATTGCATGAAATGCAATTAAAACCCTATGGGACTGACTTGATGTTTAAATCTTCCAAGGTTGATCACTACTTTTGGGATACACAAAATATAGTGCATTGATCATAACATTCTAAACATCCTATCCATTAACATTTCCAGAAATCTATCAATGAAATATATGCTCAGATATTCAAGTTACAAAATGATATTATACTTGTCAAGAATATTACATACTTTGTGCAAGGTGCAGGAATCTAATATTTGTTCTAAGAATATCAATGATGTCATTGTTAAAGTAATCTTCAGAATTGGAGTTATCTTCCTTTGTTCATAATTGTAGTTGAATCAACTACAACCAGTGCTTTAAACAATACTATGTTTAATTTTACTTCCCACTGATGAATTAAAGCAATCTTTACCCTTCAGTGCTTACAAACACTTTGATTCTAGTTTCCAGACAATAACTTGTGTTCAAGTGTATGGATCTCTCTGAAATTGTACTGCAAGGTACCATACCACAAAGGGAAGGCTGGGATTGAGTTTGGGGGTGATGAATCATAAGGGAGTTCAAAAAATTTGGGGGGGTGATTTTTTTTTCCTTTTTTTCCTTTTTTTTTTTTTTTAAATTTTCCATTTAAGTTTGTTATTTCTGATTTATATATAAAAGCAAATAATAATGATATGGTTTGATTTCATCAAAAATTGAAATATTGGGGTTCTTTGATATGCTGAATCTAACCGTGTATTTAGATTCTCAATTTTTGGTCCCGTTTTCAAATTGGTCTACATTAAGGTCCAAAGGGTCAAAAATTTAACTTATTTTGATTTTGACAAAAATTGAATTCTTGGGGTTCTTTGATATGCTGAATCTAAACATGTATTTAGATTTTTGATTGTGGGCCCAGTTTTCAAGTTGGTCCAAATCAGGGTCCAAAATTACACTTTGTTTGATTTCAACAAAAATTGAATATATGGGGTTCTTTGATATGCTGAATCTAACCATGTATTTAGATTTTTGGATGTTAGGCCTCGTTTTAAAATTTATCCACATTGAGGTCCGAAAGGTCCAAAATTAAACTTTGTTTGATTTCATTAAAAATTTAATTATGGGGGTTCTTTGATATGCTGAGAGTTTTGGTCCCAACACGAATGTGGGACCAAAAAAGGGCCCAAATAAACATTTTTCTAGTTTTCAGACAATAACTTGTGGAATGGTGTATGGATCTCTCTGAAATTATACCACAAGTTTCCATACCACAAAGAGATGGTAAGAATTGGCTTTGGGGGGTTATGGCTCACACCGTTAAGGAATAAGGGGCAAAAAGGGGGAAAACAAGGGTTTCCAGGTTTATGGACAATTAAGTACAAAACATAATTTAAAGCAGTGTAAGGTTGGTAATTCAAACTCATTTGAATATCTCAGCTACACTGGTTTTAAATTATGTATATTGGAAATTTGCCAATAACTTTAGTATTAATAAATTCTATTGGAAATTTGCCAATAACTTTTAGTATAATAAACTCCATTGGAAATTTGCCAATATAAAATGTTGCTGATGAAGGTTTTTTGTTTATTTTTAGCCATGACTATGATGTCATTTTCTATTTTAATAGCCTTATGATGTATTTAAATTTTTTAATACTTTTATTATGTATTTAAATGGGCTTTTATGGTTGCAAATTTATTTAGGTTGTAATTCAAACTCATTTGAATATCTCAGCTACACTGGTTTTAAATTATGTATATTGGAAATTTGCCAATAACTTTAGTATTAATAAATTCTATTGGAAATTTGCCAATAACTTTTAGTATAATAAACTCCATTGGAAATTTGCCAATATAAAATGTTGCTGATGAAGGTTTTTTGTTTATTTTTAGCCATGACTATGATGTCATTTTCTATTTTAATACCTTTATGATGAATTTAAATGGGCTTTTATGGTTCCAAAGGAATTTTATTTTTAGATATTACTGTAAAATGTTGCTGATTTTTTGTTTATTTTTAGCCATGACTATGCTGTCATTTTCTATTTTAATACCTTTATGATGTATTTAAATGGGCTGATATGGTTGCAAAGGAATTTTACTACAAAGGGAAGACTGCAATTGAGTTTGATGGTTAATGCTAAGATCTTTGACCACATTTATTTTGTGTCGGAAACCTATATTATGTCAAAAATTTGATCAAAATCAAACAAACTATGGTACATCTTGAGTTCTAGTCCACTGATCATCCTGAAATTTTTACACTTTATTATTTTACCATTATAAGATGTTTTGAAATGGTAAAAAAAAGTAGCATGGTCCAACCTGTTCAAAACTAGAGATCACCTGGATAAAAAAAAATGATAGTTTTCACTTAATTTGATTTGGACTTTTATATATTGAAAAAGCAGTATACATATTGATCATTGTGTTCATTCTCACTTTGTTTCTGCAACTCCTTGTAAATTAGACACTTGATTTCAATGTAACTTTTACTAAATATTCAGTATCTAATGATGTACACCTATTGTAATTTATTATTCAAATGATAGTTGGAATATCCCATTATAAAAAGTACACTTGCATTGACATGTCTAGAAAAGGGTTCGACGTCTTGTTTCCACAACTCCACCTATAGACACAACCTTAATTCAATAAAACTTCTATAAACTCTTTCTTACACAATTACATTGTGCATTCTATTTTTCCTGAAGCAAAACGTGCTTTGCAATATCTATAGAATTGGGGAGTGAGAGGTTTGCATGTTAAATCTAACAAAAGGACCAAAATGAAATTTCTTTTTTTAAAGTCGGATTTGGATACAGATTTTTTGCAGTTTACCCCTTTGAATAGTCTGCTGTGGGATTGTATTTTCCAATTGTTTGTAGTTCTTACAATTTCCAAATATAAGGAGCTGTTTAAAGCCAATTACTATGTAAATAAAGCCTTTTTGCATTCTCACTGTTGTAATACACTTGATCAATCTCCCCTTGCATTGTTTGTCAACACATGATCCTTGGTGTTTCTATAAATATTAAAATATTACAACATGATATCAACTATTGAACATTTCAATTTCAGGTGTACAAATTAAATCTCAAGTCAGATTTTATGCAAGAAAAAGGATGGTACTTAATTTTGACTTTTCAGGTAACTATAATAAATTATTACATAAGTTACAGTTAATTTAAAACTGTATATCCTCACCATATACACCTTTTCACATTAATGATAGTCATTCATGTATTCATGGCTGAAAATAGCTTATGAGAGTGATCCATGTTGGTTTTTTTATAGTCTTCTGCAATTCTCCATGTCATGAAGTTTTAGGTAACCCATAACAATACGTCAATAGACCTTTGTACACACTGTACATGTGCTTACACATGTTACATGGATCTGACAACGTACCATTCTACTTTCTGTTCTGATATTTTAATATGTTCATCAACCAATCAAATTTTTACATCCAAATTTTGAAGAGCAGCATCTGAAATAGCAACAAAACCATAGGATCCCAAAAACATGGAAAAGGTCTATTATACAGAAAATAAAAAAAATAAAAAATATGACTAATGTAATTACAGTGTGGACGCAGGATCTGTATTTCAATCAGATTACTCTTAGGTATGACCAATGTAAGTACAGTGTGGACACAGGATCTGTATTTCAGTCAGATTACTCTTAGGTACCCGGTATGACCAATGTAAGTACAGTGTGGACACAGGATCTGTATTTCAATCAGATTACTCTTAGGTATGACCAATGTAAGTACAGTGTGGACACAGGATCTGTATTTCAGTCAGATTACTCTTAGGTATGACCAACAGAAGTAATATGGATTGAGTTGTCTTAATACCTTTGGTTTGAAATTACCACAAAAAGTGCATGTTCTATATTAACACTTCACTGGTCACACTGCATGTTATTTTGCACTTTTATTATGGTTTGTTGTTCCTCTTCATCTTATTAAATTGTTAATTAAAAGTTATAATTCTCTTTTTATGTAGGTGATTTGGTAAAGGAAACAGATAAGGTTAACAAAGAGGAATTATTTTTCCCATTCAAAGAAATTGGAGGTTTAGAAGAGTAAGTGATAAGTAAATCATAAAACAGTCTGTAAAGAGTCCAGAAGGAAAGGTCTCAGATAAAATCCATATGTCCAAAAATTAGAGATGGACATGGCTCATCACATTTGCATTGTACTAGTATTACTTCGTAAAATAATAATGTTGTATGTTACATATTTAGTAATCTTCTTTTATAAATATAAGGTTTTGAAAGGGAAGTAAATATCAATTTCTTTCACTCTTGGATGCCCAAGGGTGCAATCAACAGTTTTTATACGACCGCAAAAATTGCAGTCGTATATTGGTATGACGTTGGAGTCGTCGTCCTCGTAGTCCGAAGACACATTGGTTTTTGCACAATAACTTTAGTTTAAGTGAATGGATCTCTATGAAATTTTACCATAAGGTTCAATACCACAAAAGGAAGGTTCGGATTAATTTTGGGGGTTATGGTACCAACAGTTAAGGAAAAAGGGGCCAAAAATAATCATTTTTGTAACTTCCAGACAATAACTTGTGTTTAAGTGTATGGATCTCTCTGAAATTATACCACAAGTTTCCATACCACTAAGGGATGGTTAGGATTTGCTTTGGGGGGTTATGGCTCAAACCGTTTAGGAATTAGGGGCAAAAAAAGGGGGAAAAACAAGGGTTTCCTGGTTTATGGACAATTTAAAAGCAGTGTAATTTCAGAAATTAAACAATATAATTTCTATATGTCAATACGTCAATACGCAACAGCATAGTGTATTGCACAAAAGCAAAAAAAAAATGGGTTAATTTTTATTTATTTTGGGGGGGGGATCAATTCGCACAGGCACAGTGTATTGCACAAAAGCAAAAAAATTGAATATAAATTCAAATCATATAACTAATTCTAAGTTCTTTGACTACAGCTATTCTGTGTCAGAAACCTATTATTTGTCAAATATTTAATTTCAATCCAAATTCAGACCTGTATCAAGCGTGAATATTGTGTCCATTTTTGTCCCAACTGTTCAGGGTTGGACCTCTGCGGTCGTATCCAGCTGCGCTCGGCGAAGCAATTTATTTATACTTGATGTCATACTTTGAGGGACCATGCATAAGTGACCTCTAAGTGGAGGTTTATATAATTACTTGTTTAAAACAAGATATCACTGGCATCAGCATATTCTCTAGTTTTTAGTGAAATAAAAATATTGTGTAAGTTTAACATACTAAAAATGTTCTGCACTTAGAAAAATGATAAAAAAAATTGCCCTCTCCCAAGATGAAAAAATCTGCAATCAGTTCATGTGTACACCCATGTAGACACAATACAGGCACATTTCAGATAATACAAAATATGTGTCATGCTGCATGAATTTCATAGATTTTTACCTAGTTTTTTCTGAAAAAGTCTCATTCTACGGCTCAGAAATGAGCTTAAGTAGTTATTAACTAGTTTTCAATTTTCCCTACAAAAAAACCCAGAAAGTTTATATCTCTACTAATTTTTAATATCATTTTGATTATTGAACATGTTTTAATGGAAAGCTAACTAGCAAATTCTAACTATCAATTACAAAAAAAGACATGAAACTTCTCCACCAATTATTAGATAAGCAGTGGCTTACCTCCAAGGCAATTTTTATTTTGGGAATAACTCTTAGTACTTTATATAAAACTGTTGATAGCAACCCAAGATATCATTCTCATCAGACCAGATTGTGGTAATGGTCCTTGTAGATTATAGTTAATATGACTAAGTTAAATAATTATGTTTTTCATAAACAAGACATTTTTTCAAACACTGTGATTGTCAGTATATCTTATTGAAAATAAATAAATGTCCTGGAAAATTCTCAAACATTTTGTTGCAAAAGAATTGAAATCATCTGCAGTAAAAGTTCACAAATATTAAAGAATCAGGAATCTTAAGAATTCCACTGGCCTTTTATACAGTTAAAGACTGTCTACTACAGATTAAATAAATGTCTAAGATTATAACAATAGTAATAATTATCAATTTTGCAATTGTTTTTAAAGTTGTTCAAACTTGTTAAACAGTTATGGAAATGTATACGTAAATTGGTCTTATCTAATCTTCTGTCTATATCTACATGTTTTCAAAGTTACACCAGATAAAAAAACTAAACCTTCATATAACTATGGATGTTTTCCTTGATATATTATTTTGTAGATTCGCAAATGTTTTGTATACAAGCCAATAGACATTTGATTTGTTGTGGAACAGTTAAATGTTGTGATTTCCCTTTACCAAGGAAATGAATGAAAATTGGTAACCCACACATAATAATGAATCCACAGTAATGTATGTATTTGTTTATATTTACAGTGTAGATGATACTGTTAAAAGACTCCTCAGTTTGGAGTTCTGTGACTCAGTAATGTATGTAATTGTTTATATTTACAGTGTAGATGATACTGTTAAAAGACTCCTCAGTTTGGAGTTCTGTGACTCAGAGTAATGTATGTAATTGTTTATATTTACAGTGTAGATGATACTGTTAAAAGACTCCTCAGTTTGGAGTTCTGTGACACGTTAAAAGACTCCTCAGTTTGGAGTTCTGTGACACGTTAAAAGACTCCTCAGTTTGGAGTTCTGTGACTCAGTAATGTATGTAATTGTTTATATTTACAGTGTAGATGATACTGTTAAAAGACTCCTCAGTTTTGAGTTCTTTGACTCAGTAATGTATGTAATTGTTTATATTTACAGTGTAGATGATACTGTTAAAAGACTCCTCAGTTTGGAGTTCTGTGACTCAGAGTAATGTATGTAATTGTTTATATTTACAGTGTAGATGATACTGTTAAAAGACTCCTCAGTTTGGAGTTCTGTGACTCAGTAATGTATGTAATTGTTTATATTTACAGTGTAGATGATACTGTTAAAAGACTCCTCAGTTTGGAGTTCTGTGACTCAGAGTAATGTATGTAATTGTTTATATTTACAGTGTAGATGATACTGTTTAAAGACTCCTCAGTTTGGAGTTCTGTGACTCAATAATGTATGTAATTGTTTATATTTACAGTGTAGATGATACTGTTAAAAGACTCCTCAGTTTGGAGTTCTGTGACACGTTAAAAGACTCCTCAGTTTGGAGTTCTGTGACTCAGTAATGTATGTAATTGTTTATATTTACAGTGTAGATGATACTGTTAAAAGACTCCTCAGTTTGGAGTTCTGTGACTCCGTAATGTATGTAATTGTTTATATTTACAGTGTAGATGATACTGTTAAAAGACTCCTCAGTTTGGAGTTCTGTGACTCAGTAATGTATGTAATTGTTTATATTTACAGTGTAGATGATACTGTTAAAAGACTCCTCAGTTTGGAGTTCTGTGACTCAGAGTAATGTATGTAATTGTTTATATTTACAGTGTAGATGATACTGTTAAAAGACTCCTCAGTTTGGAGTTCTGTGACACATTAAAAGACTCCTCAGTTTGGAGTTCTGTGACTCAGTAATGTATGTAATTGTTTATATTTACAGTGTAGATGATACTGTTAAAAGACTCCTCAGTTTGGAGTTCTGTGACTCAGTAATGTATGTAATTGTTTATATTTACAGTGTAGATGATACTGTTAAAAGACTCCTCAGTTTGGAGTTCTGTGACTCAGAGTAATGTATGTAATTGTTTATATTTACAGTGTAGATGATACTGTTTAAAGACTCCTCAGTTTGGAGTTCTGTGACTCAGTAATGTATGTAATTGTTTATATTTACAGTGTAGATGATACTGTTAAAAGACTCCTCAGTTTGGAGTTCTGTGACTCAGAGTAATGTATGTAATTGTTTATATTTACAGTGTAGATGATACTGTTAAAAGACTCCTCAGTTTGGAGTTCTGTGACACGTTAAAAGACTCCTCAGTTTGGAGTTCTGTGACTCAGTAATGTATGTAATTGTTTATATTTACAGTGTAGATGATACTGTTAAAAGACTCCTCAGTTTGGAGTTCTGTGACTCAGAGTAATGTATGTAATTATAGAATAACTAATCGAAGAATTCAAATAGAGAAAAATATTCAACGAGTGACCGAACAACACATTAATTCACGAATGCGCGTAGCGCATGAGTTAATTATCAGTGTTGTTCGGTCACGAGTTGAATATTTTTCGATATTTGAATTCTTTGATTAGTTATTCTTTTTATTACATTGGCAAATGGCTTTTTTATGAAATTAAAGTAGAAACTGTAAGGAACTATATCTTTTTCTACGCATTCACAATTTGTTTTGATCCGACGTTATCGACGTCTTGACAACGCCTATTGTTGTATGACGTCAGAGGAGTGAAATAACCACGTTTATTTCACATGTGAAATTATCGGTTTTTATTTCACTGGGAAATCAATATAATTCATTGCAACCAATGTAATAATTGTTTATATTTACAGTGTAGATGATACTGTTAAAAGACTCCTCAGTTTGGAGTTCTGTGACTCAGTAATGTATGTAATTGTTTATATTTACAGTGTAGATGATACTGTTAAAAGACTCCTCAGTTTGGAGTTCTGTGACTCAGTAATGTATGTAATTGTTTATATTTACAGTGTAGATGATACTGTTATAAGGCTCCTCAGTTTGGAGTTTTGTGACTCAGTAATGTATGTAATTGTTTATATTTAGTGTAGATGATACTGTTAAAAGACTCCTCAGTTTGGAGTTCTGTGACTCAGAGTAATGTATGTAATTGTTTATATTTACAGTGTAGATGATACTGTTTAAAGACTCCTCAGTTTGGAGTTCTGTGACACAGTAATGTATGTAATTGTTTATATTTACAGTGTAGATGATACTGTTAAAAGACTCCTCAGTTTGGAGTTCTGTGACTCAGTAATGTATGTAATTGTTTATATTTAGTGTAGATGATACTGTTAAAAGACTCCTCAGTTTGGAGTTCTGTGACTCAGAGTAATGTATGTAATTGTTTATATTTACAGTGTAGATGATACTGTTTAAAGACTCCTCAGTTTGGAGTTCTGTGACTCAATAATGTATGTAATTGTTTATATTTACAGTGTAGATGATACTGTTAAAAGACTCCTCAGTTTGGATTTCTGTGACTCAGTAATGTATGTAATTGTTTATATTTACAGTGTAGATGATACTGTTAAAAGACTCCTCAGTTTGGAGTTCTGTGACTCAGTAATGTATATAATTGTTTATATTTACAGTGTAGATGATACTGTTAAAAGACTCCTCAGTTTGGAGTTTTGTGACTCAGTAAGTAATATAACAATGGTCTAAACATAAAAAATTTCAAATGATTTAATGGATCAAACTTTTTATGCCCCCGCCGTAGCAGAAGGGGCATTAAGTTTTACCCTTGTCCGTCTGTAAGTCCGTCCGTATGTCCCAAAATTGGTTTCCGTTCTCTAACTTTAGTTTGCCTCAACCAAATGATATAAAACTTATACACAATGCCTATTACCACAAAACACAGATCAAGTACTAATTTTGGCGGCGTCACTTTTACTGTTCTAGAGTTATGCCCCTTTACAAATGGAAAAATTGCTGAAATATTCGTTTCTGTTCTCTAACTTTAGTTTGCCTCAACCAATGTTATGAAAATTATGCACAATGCGAATTACCATAAAACACAGAACAAGTTTGAATTTTGGTGGCGTCACTTTTACTGTTCTAGAGTTATGCCCTTTACAAATGGAAAAATTGCTGAATTTTTCGTTTCCGTTCTCTGACTTAAGTTTGCCTCAATTAATTAATGTTATGAAAAGTATACACAATGCTTATTACCACAAAACTCAGATCAAGTACAAATTTGGGTAGTGTAACTTTTACAGTTCTTGAGTTATGTCCCTTTTTTAACGTTTTATACAAGCAGGGGCATCATCAGTGTCCCATGGACACATTCCCCATTTATTTTGATTACTTCCTACACTTAGTTGATTCTGAATCTCTCTTCTGGTCAGATGTGGTAGTACCCATATTATTTGACAAACCAAGTTGACCTTCCCATAAATAAAATCTGCCGGTATGTACCCGTTAAAAAAGCATAAGATATAAAAAACGATGAAAATTGTCTGGCTGGCTTATTTTTGTATTTTTTTGGAAATGCAGATTTGGCAGTAATACATGTAAATCAAAACTAAAATCATGATTCATGTAAGGTCGTGAAGGAGGGTAAAAATGTCCTGTTGTGTATTCAATTGATGCTATTGGTAATACAAGCTCGGTATGAAGAAAATAGAACCATTTAAGTTTAATGTGTCATTGTTCAGACAAGTAGTGCATGGTTGATAACATTCTGGGAGGTTATGGTGACTGTAAAATTACACAAATTTACACAGACATAGATTTAAACTGAAAGTTTTTTTGATGAAGTAGCTTATGTGACAGTAATCATCATCTGTACAATATTATATGTTCTTGTATCAGTTGTTGATGCAAGCTCTTGAGTAGTGTTTTAGCTGTGATATGTAAAATATGTGACTATTTTGATATAAAAGTTTTAATTAACTGTTTTAAACCCAAAAAAGGCAGATTATTTTGTAATCATAAAGGAACAAATATATTATCAGATTACAATTTTGTTGTTGCAGAAAGAACGCTCATTTCACAAAGAATACGAATTGATGAAAAAGATTGATGAGTTATTTGGGCCTAATGCTGAATTGGAGAGGAAAAGTAAGTAACAAAATTGGACCTAGTACATTTAACATTTATATTTTTTGTTACTGCATCCTGTAAGGAACTGTTAGTTTTTTAAATTATATTAATTCAGTTTAAAAAATTGAAACAACTAACCCCTGAACTATCAAGTTAAAGAATGCCATTATTCCATTCTATTTTCGGAATAATATACATGTTCAAAAATGCTTAAAAAAGGTTTTTCATATTTTCCCCCATAAACAAATTGTCTCTTAACAATTTTACTCAACATCTACAATTTTTATGCCCCCACCGTAGCGGAAGGGGCATTAAAGTTTTACCCTTGTCCGTCTGTACGTCCCAAAATTGGTTTCCGTTCTCTAACTTTAGTTTGCCTCAACCAAATGTTATGAAACTTACACACAATGCTTATTACCACAAAACACAGGTCAAGTTTGAATTTTGGTGGCGTCACTTTTACCGTTCTAGAGTTATGCCCCTTTAAAAATGGAAAAATTGCTGAATATTTCGTGTCCGTTCTCTAACTTTAGTTTGCCTCAACTAAATGTTATGAAACTTGTACACAATGCTTATTACCACAAAACACAGATCAATTTTCAATTTTGGTTGCGTCACTTATACCATTCTAGAGTTATGCCCCTTTATAAATGGAAAAATTGCTGAATTTTTCGTTTCTGTTCTCCAACTTTAGTTTGCCTCAACCAAATGTTATGAAACTTATACACAATGCTTATTTCCACAAAACACAGATCAAGTTTGAATTTTGGTGGCGTAACTTTTACCGTTTTAGAGTTGTGCCCCTTTACAAATGGAAAAATTTCTGAAATATTTGTTTCTGTTCTCTAACTTTGTCTCAACCAAATGTTATGAAACTTATGCACAATGCTTATTACCACAAAACTCAGATCAAGTACAAATTTGGGTAGTGTCACTTTTACAGTTCTTGAGTTATACCCTTTATAACGTTATATGCAAGCGGGGCATCAGACACATTCCCCATTTATTTGTAAAATCTGTCAGCTGAATTTTATCATAAACGATTTTAAAGCAGATATTCACCTTGAATGAGTTTATAGCAGATATTCACGACATTTTTTTATTGTTCTTTATTTTCTATTTTTGATATGTCAATCGTCCTATAGGATTTTTTTGTGTGCTCTGCTTGGATAGTAAAATTAATCAGAGCTTTTAAGGAATTGCATATCATTCAAAAGAGGAATGCGCGACACCTTTGATTTTAAAATAGTCTCATGTTCTAAAAAACATTTTCAATATTTAACTAAATGCCATCAATATCACTTCTAGCTTTTGTGTTGTGAGCCTAAGATTCAAAAGGGAAAATCCATTGAACATGTTCAAAATAAAACAACTTCTTTTTTATTGAATCAAGCAGTTTTGTCAACATACCAACAACAACTCTGTTTCCCTACTTCCTGTTTGACACTGTTCATTAAACCTCAACTTTCTGTGGTCTATTTCAAACTAAACTTAAATTGTATCGGTAGTATGCATACGAAGTATAGTGTTTTGGGCTCAACAGTTTTGAATTTTGCCAAACAAAATCGACATTGTGAATAAAACTCTAATTTTTTGAATCAAGTATGTATGCTATCAACTAATCTTCCAGGAAACGTTTGTGTAAAAATAACATGTGTAAACATGTTGGACCAAAATATTTCTGAGCAAAATAAAATAAAAAGGCAAAGTTTGAAAACTGTAAAGAACAAGACATGTTCGGAGTTTAGTGTGACGTTCTTTTTCGCTGAACTATATCTTTTTAATATTTATTAAAGTCTTAACATGATTTGATTTTCATTGCAGTTGTCAAATTTACTATTTCCATAAGAAAGATGGTACCTTATTGTCTAGAAAGAACAGCAGTAAGTTTTCAAGATTGTTATTAATGTACATGTTCTAGATCATATTCACACTATTCAACTCGTACCAGTAAATGTGTATGTGTGGACCATACATAGTCCAATATGTAGATGATACCTTTAATACATATGTACATACTGTGCATAAATCTAAAAAAATTAAAACAAGATTCCCATGTAAATGAAGAAAAACTGTTAAAGCAGAATATCCCCCAATACTTTCTAGTTTACCTTGCCCAGTGTTTTCTAGGAAACGACTTGGCCACTATACATTAAAATTATCCATAGAGAATTTATTTAAAAGGATTTATGTCTATTATGCCTTCTGACCTACTAACATAACTGCTGTTACTATGAATAGAACAGTGGTCAAATGCATATAATTGTCTATTGTTCTGAAGTTTAGCAATTATAAATAAATGAAATGATTTTGAAATGGTCCTTTCAGAATATATACTAGTATCTCTGGTGTCCAGGCCACTGTTACTAAAATAGAAATTTATGTACAAAAAAATATGAATAATTTTTTTTATAAAATCTTAACTAACTTAAATAATTTTTTTTAAATAAAAATGTAATATTCGCTATTATAGTTCATAGCAAATGTTAACCATGAAAGTATTATTGGTGGTGAGACACAAACAGTTGTAATTTTGTAATTAGCTCACACCGCAAAACTTTATTCCCAAATAAAAAAAAAACAGACTTTTTGAAGAAGATTTGTAATGTGTTATTAAGATTCAAAAATAAGCAAAAGACTGCAATAGAGAAACATCACTTCTCCTTTAAAGAGAAATAATCAGCCAAAATCCTCAGGTGGAGAAATAAAAAAAAAGAATTTACTAAGAAAAAATCTGAAAAGCAAATCATGTTCCTGGCTTGATGCAACCCTTTTCAAAACAAAATGAGTTACTAATCCAGGATTGACAAAACCACACTTATAATTCTAATGTTTTATTGTTTACTTTCAGGATAAGAAAAATAAATCAGTACTAAATGAGAGTATTGCAAAGCGAAAGAAATTTTTAAAAGAATTAAGAGCTGAAGATTATGAACGATTTATTTGGTTGCTAAAAGAATTAAAGATTAGATATATACCAGCAAAGAAAACAGTGCGTGTTAGTAAAAGACAGAATAGAATAAATGAAAATCAGACCATTTCAGATGATATAAGGAATAAAAAAGAAGAAGAATTACGCCTAGTACTGGAACGTGAGAAAGAAGAGTATTTGATGAATAAAGAGAAGATTCTGGAAGACATAGAGAAAGAAATTGAGGAATACGGTTTAAATAAAGAAGAAATTTTACAAAATGTGGAAAATATTCGTGTTGCCAGGGAAACACCTCCTGAACCGGTTAGAACAGGTTTTGCTAGTTTGAAAGATTGGTCATATCCGAAGGTCCCACCAAGATTTTTTAAATTAAAATAATAAAAAGTTATTTAATTGTTATTATTTGATTTTAAATACAGATTCCTGATATTTCATGACATAAGCTGCATGTCCAAAATGCACATTTTTGTCTCACCTTGATGGAGTCAAAAAGCCAGACATAGGTATGCTGTTTCCGACGTTGGCAGCGGCGGTGTTGTCAACAATGTATTAGTTTGTAATTAGGTCTAGTTTAAGGTGAACCACTAGTGTTTGGTCAATGATATTTTGTATGCAGTTGTATTAGCACTGGCACATCTCATTTCCATGCAGATTATTTGACCCTGCCCCCTCAGTCATGGTCTATTGACTTTGAAACTTTTGCTTAGTTTACATGTATTAGTTTGTGATTTTTGTGAGTTTTGTGACTTATTGAAAGGGAACAACTTATGATAAGTCTATGGTATTTGGTATGCAGTTGTATTAGCATTGGCACATCTCATTTCCATGGAGATTGTTTTGCCATGTACCTTCAGTTAAAGTATTGCTATTTTAATTTCAACATTTGCATTATCAAAAGTACAAAAAGGCGAGACATATCTCTGTGTTAACAGTTTATTTATCTTAAATATCTTCAAAATAATGTATTGCAATATAAGAGGGATAGTAATAGATTTTATAGGACTGAAAAATAATTTGTAAACAGCTTATAAACAAGTAGAATTCAAGGCCTGCTTAGCATTTCTATCCTGTATTGTGTTGAGAACACATAAAATTTGTATATTGGAGAATCACCGATAAAAAATATGCAGTGTTATATAAAACATTCTAAAAGGTATTGAGCAGTTTACCAACATGCCTCTGTGAAAGCATTCTTTCCAAATCAATATAGTGACATTTGCAGATAATGAGATTCCTCTGAATGTTTAAATTGTCCCAAATATCTTGATTCAGAATTCCTCAGTTTTACAGAATTCTGCTATATAAAAATAAGATGTGGTATGATTGCCAATGAGACAACTCTCTACTTGGAATGAAATGAAGTATGGCTGTATGACAGAATCCAAGGCCTAATTTAGAAATATTTCTTTGCTCGATTCCTTCATACCAAGAAAAAAGATTCCACTAAAAATATTGACAAAAAAAATCTTTCAACAGGCATTGCTGTTATGAAGTCCCATACAACATACCCCAAAAATCACTTTATTTATATAGCAAATATATTTACTATTTGGTGCAGCTTTACAAAACAGGAATATACAGAAAACCTCTTTAGACCCCATCTGGAAAAAAATTAAAAAATACATATAACCCAGGGTGTCAATAACTCATCAAGGATAAAATGAGAAAATAAAGGGGAGTCACTCAGAGATTTAGCTGTATATCATTTATGTTGTCTGTTCATGAGGTTTTAATATAAAATTTCCAAAAATATATGGTTGCTAGGTTCTTTTCCAAATCATTATTGTTCTAAGTCTTCTGAGAGACCCCAAGGAAAGGAACAGGTATGATAAGTCCACTTTTTGCCCCTAGAACTTGAAAAATCTGAAAAGTATTTAAAATTACAAAATAACATCAATCAGATATTCATTATACATTCATCTGTCTCACTTCTTGAAAGGCTGGAATAATTTTACTATTTTTATACGACCGATAGCAAAACAAATTTGCGGTCGTATATTGGTATAATGGTGTCGATGTCCAAGACACATTGGTTTTTGCACAATAACTTTAGTTTAAGTGAATGGATCTCTATGAAATTTTACCATAAGGTTCAATACCACAAAAGGAAGGTTGGGATTGATTTTGGGGGTTATGGTACCAACAGTTAAGGAATTAGGGGCTAAAATAAGCATTTTTGTAACTTCCAGACAAATTTAATTACAATCCAAATTCAGACCTGTATCAAGCGTGAATATTGTGTCCATTTTCGCCCCAACACTTCAGGGTTGGACCTCTGCGGTCGTATCCAGCTGCGCTCAGCGAAGCATTTTATTGCAATTTCAGGGGCCAAACAATGGTTCTTATCATACTCCACCTATAACAAAATAAGAATCACATCCTTTTGAAATTCTATTGTTCGATGTCAATATTTGGGTCCTAATGTTTCCAAAAATATGTTGTTGCTATGGTGCTTTTTTTAATTGTTGTTTTTCTGGAAGACATTCAGCACCATAATTGGATTTCAAATTCTTTCAATATAAATGTTTGGGTCAATATGTTCCCAAAATGTATGTCTGCTTGGTTAACTTTATTAAACAAAATTCAGAAAATTTGCTAAAATTTGCATTGGTGGATCCAAGGTGTGGGGGGTGAGGGGTTTTCTGTGTCAATATTTGGGTCCTAATGTTTCCAAAAACATGTTGTTGCTATGGTGCTTTTTTTAATTGTTGTTTTTCTGGAAGACATTCAGCACCATAATTGGATTTCAAATTCTTTCAATATAAATGTTTGGGTCAATATGTTCCCAAAATGTATGTCTGCTTGGTTAACTTTATTAAACAAAATTCAGAAAATTTGCTAAAATTTGCATTGGTGGATCCAAGGTGTGGGGGGTGAGGGGTTTTCTGTGGGTTGGTAGTTGGAACCCCCCCCCCCCCCCTTTTTTTAATTGATATTTAATTTCTTTTTATACGACTGCGATCACGTTGTCGTCATCGTCCAAAGACACTTGGTTTCTGGACAATAACTTTAGTATAAATTAATAGAAATCTATGAAATTTAAACACACGGTTTATAACCACAAAAGGAAGGTTGGGATTGATTTTGGGTGTTATGGTCCTAACAGTTTAGGAATTAGGGGCCCAAATAAGCATTTTTCTAGTTTTCAGACAATAACTTGTGGAACGGTGTATGGATCTCTCTGAAATTGTACAATGAGTTTCCATACCACAAAGGGATGGTTAGAATTGGCTTTGGGGGGTAATGGCTCAAACCGTTTAGGAATTAAGGGCAAAGAAGGGGGAAAAACAAGGGTTTCCTTGTTAATGGACAATCACTTTTATGTACAATGTTAAATTTGGATTACCTCCCTTACATTGCTTTAAAATTATGTATAAAGAATTTTTGTATTGTCTTGAGGTGATTAGCTGTCAACTTATTTTTAGAGATTACTAATAAAAATGCTGATTAAAGATATACTTTTTTTAGACATGACTATGTATGTCATTTTCTACTTTAAGACTGTTATGATGTATTTAAATGGGTAATTATGGTTGCAAACTCCATTGGAAATTTGAATTGAGATAATAACAATATCTTGAGGGAAAGATTTTTTTTTTGGAAAAAGGGCAAAAAGGGGGGGGGGGGGGGGGTAAAAAGAAATTGGGGGGGGGGACAATTTTTTTTTCTCATTACAGATTTCAGAAATTAAAAAAGAAAATTTCTTCAAATGTTATTTTTTTTTTGTAAAAAAAAGGGGGTGGGGTGAAAAAACAATTTTTGTAAAAAAAAAAGGGGGGTGAATTTTTTTTTTTTTGGGGGGGGGGGGGGGTCAATTCGCAACAGCATAGTGTATTGCACAAAAGCAAAAAATTGAATTTAAATTCAAATTATATAACCAATTCTTAGTTCTTTGACTACAGTTATTCTGTGTCAGAAACCTATTATGTGTTTTAATTTCAATCCAAATTCAGACCTGTATCAAGCACGAATATTGTGTCCATTTTTGCCCCAACTTTTCAGGGTTGGACCTCTGCGGTCGTATCCAGCTGCGCTCGGCGAAGCAATTTATTTAATTATGTGAAAATTTCATGGTGTTCCAGGGGTTGGACCCCCCCCCCCCCCCCCCCCATTATCAAAATGGCTGGATCTGTGCCTGATTTGAATTACATCCTTTTGAAAATTTGGTCACAACATTTCCAAAAGTATATGGTTGTCAGGTTATTTTACAAATCATTAATGTTTTAAGAGACTTTCGGGAAATTCACCAAAAATTTCAGCACAATGGTACATTCGAGTGCTTTCTACATACTGATTGTTCAATTTTCGAATGTCCTTTGATTTGTTATAGAAACCTATATCGTGAATAAATTGGCAGGAGAACTTCTATTTAGATCTAATAGAACAATCATAATATTCTATTGTTAAGCAAATAACATCCACAAAACAATATTCTTTCTTCTGTAATTGAATTGATTGGTTTTATTTCATGCACTATTCATTGGTGTGGAATATGAACTCAAGGTGTTATTTTCATCAAAATATTTATTAGAACAAAACAAGACAAGTTAACAAATTGAATGAATTAACAATAACAAAAAGGCAAGTTAAGCATAAAACTGATGGCACAAAAAAAACTACATGTGAATATATCATATTAATAAGTGCAATATATATATAAAATAGTTTACAGTTATAAAAGGGGTATTTGATTAAGCAATAAAACACTAAAACGTTAAAATGAAAAACTTGTCACCGGATTTGTATTGAGAATTTGCATATTTCTCAAACTTACGGAAATAAAAAGAATTCAAACAAAGGTAGGGCCAACTTCCTATAAATATGTTTCACACTAGGGCAAATTTTAAAGTCGTTCAATTTACATTATCTTATAGTTTCATGTTTCTAACAAAATTATGGTGTATTTTGGCAAATACGGGCCTATCCAAATTATAAAATGCTTAAAAATACAAAAACGTAATTAAGATTGGTGTTTGCAACTTTTTAATTATTTAACAAGCGAATGAGGATATTCTTAAACAAAATGAAAATTCCACTGGAAGTTAAGCTATATAGTATCTTCCAGCTACAAGTTTATTCATTTTGGTTATGGGTGTCCTTTGATGCAAAATTTTCCAAAACGTAACATTTGTTAATATGTTGATTTTATAGGTATATGCGCAAAATTGGTAAAATATCTTCTTGCAAAGTGCACTAAGACGACTAAACGGATTTTTTTTATTTGGTCATGTACGAATGAAACAAATTCACGTCCCCGCCTCTTATGATAAGTTATTGCATCTTCCTACTTTCAAAATATCTAAAGCTTTCTATAAATTCTGTAATAAATAGTTGACATGAACGAATCATTGTGATTACCAAATTTCAACTGGCAAGAAATGTAAACAACTACAAACTTATTACAATACAACAGTTGTTTGTTTTTCTGCATACGATGCTGGTATATATCCATACTGGTTAGTTCTTGGTATATGCACCCAAATCCATTCTGAACTATTTTGAGAATTTAAATCTGCATAAATTGCCTCCCCTTTCTGAACATATATATTTTGCTGCCCATGTCTCTGTCCTTTATATTCATATTTCATTACATATTCAACCATATAGCTACTTTGCTGCCCACCTATGTTGACATTAGAATTATACCGTGTTGTCTTTATGCTTTCAGTTTTAACCGAAGATCTTGCCGAAACTCGGGAACTTTTTGTTCCTCGTGAAGAATCAGAAATTGAACCATCAGTTATCTGTTGCCTCCTTTTCAATATCATGGCAAGTTCTTCAGTTACGTTTTTAAATGAGTCAGATACATCTCCGTCAGGTTTTAGTTTTACTGAGACTTTTTCTACAATGTTAGGTAAACTGACTTCTGTATACTGGCTATTTTTAGTTTCTAAAACATCATTTAACAACTGATTTGAATCATTCGCTGAGCTTGGGTTCTGGTAAGACTCCTTTGAAGTTTCGTTTTTCTGGGATTGCATGGGAGAATTGGCTCCGCCAATGTCATTTTTGGCATAAGTGTTTGAATATTCTAAAGAATCAGCTGTGCGTCTGTCGAAATAAGGTGAGGCTCTTGAATTGTCTGATAAGATTGTAGCTAGAGGTTGTCGAGGATATTGACTACTGCTGTGTATTTCTGAGGAAGCAATTTCTGTCACATCTGTTAGAGACTGATCTGAAAAGTCGTGTTGGTGGTTATCCTCAAGAAATGTAGAATCAATGAGCGACTCTTTATGTGTTTTCATGTGAAGACTGGAATAAGGTGGTGGGTCTTTGTCGGGTTGTTTCGGCTGTAAAGAAATGTTTGGGGATGTTAATGCAGTTTGACTGTTTGGTGTGTATGAAATTGGAGTGTCAGTTTTGTCGAATAATTTTTTCTTTACATTTTGGTGTCCATATTTTGCTGAGTCATGTTTGGATAAGATATCAATTTCTGATTGTACACTAACTGTTGAAGACATAAAACTGTCCGTTGATGTATTTTGAATGGACCCTTGATTCTGGCTTCTAGCCTGACCACTCCTTTGGATATATGTTGAACCTTGGTTGGTGACAGTGTTTGACCCTGACTTTTTATTTAATCCACCACTGCGAACTAAAAAAGAAGAAACTGATGTTAGGATCAGTAGTAAGATATATATTTTTTTTAATAACTAATTTTAACAAAAAGGTAATATTGGGAATATGTCAATGAGACAGTAACCTATCAACAAAAAACAAAGACATCTTGGTTCTATACGCTATCTTCAACATTAAATAGTTGTATATACAATGTATCAATTTCTAAATCGTCGACATGTTTGAAAAGTAGTAAATAAATATAAGAGGTAACACCAAAATGGAAACAAAAATTGAAACATAACACAAGACAACCATCGGCATGGTTCTTGACTACGATCAGGCACATGAACATATAACAGGTTTATACCATTTTTAGCTCTCAAACACCCCCTTTATAATATTTCGATCAATGGTAAAACCAAAATTCAACACATTAATAAAAATCAGTTTAGAAACAGAACTTTATACCCTTTAATACGGATATAATACTACAAAAACAAAACCAGAATAAACCACAACAGATACAAGTAAACCGATAACGTTTCAAATAATTCTCAACTGTCACTGTGAAAGCAAGCTCAGAGTACTTAATGTGTTGATATTGTAACCGAAAAGCCTGATTCTTATTTGAAAATAACATCGTCTCCTCCAGGTCTCCTGTGTTCGAGTTCGAAGTCAGTGCTATAAACGACTGAGCTAAAAAAAGTACTTCCCCAACTCAACCGCTTACGACTGGCTTAATATCCAATCCCATCACAATATATATATCATGCAGACCAAGGCTGTAATATTGGTGGACGTACTTCCCCAGCTCAACCGCTTACGGCTGGCTTAGTATCCAATCCAATCATAATATAGATATCATGCAGACCAATGCTGTAATATCGGTGGACGTACTTCCGAGTACATTATATACATCAACTTAGAGTACATAGAGTAAAAAGACATCCGAGTAGATTATATACATCAACTTAGAGTACATAGAGTAAAAAGGCAATCTGTTGTCCAAAAGATCAAAATAAGTTGAACAGAATTTCAATTCAAAACGGAATTAAAAAAAATGAAATACAACATTTAAGAATAAGTTAATCCTATTGTTCCCTTGTCTCAAAATAAATAAATGAGTCAATAATGTTGAATAAAAAACCGAATGCAATTATCACAATTATAACCTTTATCAGTAAATCTAATACTAGTAAGCCGAAATGAAAGAACTTGTTTTCCTTGTTAAAATATTACCATAAAAGGTAAGCTGTGAAGTATCAGTTTATTTTTTAAATTCCTGCTTGTTGAAGTAAATATTTGCAAGCATTTAATTGGGATAAAATTTAGTAAAAGTTTAGAATACTTATGATATTCTATTTTTTTCAGTTATGAAAATAGTACTTTATGAAATCTTAGATGTCATATCCCATCAAACTCGTCATAACAACGAATTCATTTTTACATAGCATTCTATTTATTATTACATTTTTTATCATCCAACAGTGTGACCACCTATTTGAAATTTCGTACAATAAAGACGGTTTGATGTTCTACAAAGTTTCGTTTAAGGCAATATGACGAGAAATATGAAAACAGTTAAAGTAGTATTACCATGTGGGAAATACCAGTATGTTGTCATTTTGATTTTGGCTTTAGTTATTTAAGTTTAACAGAAGTTGTCTGAATTTCAAGCTTAACACACTTTTAACTTGTGATTATAACAGAAACACAAGAAGCTACTTTTGTAATGTGAATTGAACGATATATACCTAGTTTACGGAGAGGCTCAACTGGACAAATATACGTCTTTGGTACAAAGCCTTCCAGTCCATCATATTTCCTTACCCAAGACCAGTCAGGGTCTTCTATATTTAAAACGTCAACTAGTTCGGCTCGTTCAACGCTTACGTCGTTTTCGTTAATTCCGAGAAAATCAAAGAGCACTATATATTGTCCATGTGAGGTCTTATAAAAAGGTTTAACATCCGTTTTATCCAATATACCACTACTAGAATACTCTTGTGGTTTGGGTTGAAATAATGGTGACATGTTCCTGCTTACCACCGACTCGATGTCGGTGTTCTCCTCCGATAGGTCTGCACTGTACTCCGATAAACGACTGCTTCGAACAGAATTCGTACAAGAAATGTCTGTATTATAATCTATATCTTTCACCGTACGACATACCGACACTGGAACATAACCTGTCTGACCGTTGGTTTTCTCAATATACAACCAGTCTTTGGCAGTGTGTATAAGTCGACCAGTCTCGCCTTTTTTAACCTGTACCTCTCCTGGTGCCTTTGGACTGAAATCTTGTATGATGTCGACCTTTGAACGTGTATACATATGATCTGACCTATCTAACCCAACTTGTTCTATTGTATCCACACTATCACTTCCAGTTATTCGTCCACGAATTGGTTCTTTCCCTGAAAAGAAAATTCACAGTGTGCGATGACCTTACAAGTTAGAAATTTTATTTTCTTAAAAAAGGAAGAAAAAATGCTTCTTTATATTTCAATGTAAGCAGTTACTGTTGTCTCTGTTATAAACACAATTGTAAACCAAACGTCATCGAATGGGTAAGACCACTAGGTCGTCTTTTCTTCTTCAAGACTTCATAAACGGACCTCCTAGCTCTAAAGATCAAAATCTACCTTCTGTCTTTACAGTTTTAGGATTCATTTAGATTTATGGGTTGGTTCTAAATAACAATATCAGTATAAATTGCGTTAAACGAGTGACTTACCCTTGTGTAATGGTTGTGATTACAAGCAAAAGACAAATTAATCTTACCTCTATTCCGCTTTGCTCTATTTGTATTTCCTAATCGACTGGGACAGAGAAAAGCCATTTAACTTCACTGCACATACTATAGTACAAAATGATATTTCTCAATTTTAAAATGATTATCGTTATCAATAAAGGTATGACAAATCTTTTTATATAGATGGTCGGATTTACATAAAGTACTGGGTACATTTATTGTATGTATGTGAATATATCCGAACAATTCACATTAAATACCAACCAGTATAAAATCCATTAACTTTAACATATCTGATTAGCGGATGTGTCAAATCTTTATTGAATTGTATGTAAGAAAACCAATAAGATCTGTTTTGATAACTTAAGATGCTTTACAAAAGCCTTTTAAATTTAAATGTATTTGTATTTTACGGGTGTAAATTACCGAATGTAAACATTCATGACATGAATTGCTTTATAATTTCCTGTTGAGAAACATTGTTTCTTTTCGTGGTTGTAAATGGATTTTAAGCTTAAAATCTACCCACCCAATTCACTGTAAGTTTATAAATACCGGCCTAAATCAGATTAGGAAAAGATCTATGGAACCACATTCTCTGTGGAAATATAAGCATATTACTAGAATTTATTTTCGATAGATACGACTAGATTTCTTATAGCATGTGGTGAGGGGTGTATAATTTAATACTCCTCGACGATGCTAGTTAGGGGGACCAAATACCCTCGCCCGCAAGCAAGTGTTTGACTTCAAATTGTAAGAGTAACTTTAAATGCATAAATTACTTGTGATGATAAATTTGTATGACCTATACATTTCTCACATTACTTGTTGTAAGTTAGTTTAAATGGTCTCACGAACTTGACAACACAAGAGTTAAGAAGCAGCGCTTGCATTGCTGTTCTTCGTCTAAAAATATGACCATGGGGTATACAACACAGAACAAAAATGCTACACGTGTGCACTGAAGTCTGGCACTGATTCAGTGTAATAACAAAGAAGACTTTATAACGGGTAAAGAAACAAATACTGTCATCGTTTACCGACACCTTTGTTTATATTTGAATAAAATTCTGATCTTGAGCACTGTAAGATGTAAAAACATAAAATACTCTTGAGAAGTAATACTAGAGGGTAGGAATGCTCTTTACCGTCAGGCGTCAAACGGTCATTTTCGGCTACCGTTTGCGTCAAGTTGGTTGAAATGTTACCGTGATTCGTCAAAATATCCTTATCGTGATTCGTCTAAGAATCAAAATATCCTTATCGTGAGGCATCAAAAAATTATCGTTACTGTTTGTGGAAAAAATTTAACGAGATTCGTCAAAATCAGTCGATTTTTTATCGTCTGAAAGAAAGTGTACATTTTATCGTCATGGACCAAAAATTACCGTTAACGTCATTTGGCAAGAATTTTTACCGTTATTCGTCATGATGGTACCCCCAATTACCACCCTCATACTAGTGACGTCTAATTTAGTAATATTATTTTGAGTTCCTTTGCACTTTGCCGTAATCTTTTTCGTTTGACATGACGTTAATATAGGCAATATTTAGTCATGTGATGTAGTTACGCTTATGACGTCCGATCAACGAGGAGTAGGATGGCGACAGTAAAAGGTCGCCCGTCAAACCACTCTTTATATAACTTCTTTGATACTGAAAGATCCAGTAGCTGTAGTAAGAATCCAGAGAGTATCGATAAAGATACAGAAAGAACGATTGATTCGAGATCCCCTACAGGATTTCGGATTAAAGAGATTTCTATTTCTCCATTATCACAGAATGTTGACGACGCCAATGATATTATGTGCATCTCTATAGCACCTAAAAAGGGCAGTGAACATGATATAGAAATCTCGTCTGATAAACCTAGCAGATTAAGCAGTACATCTGGAAGTCGTTGTCCGTCAGTAGCCAGTTCGGACTCAAACTACAGTGAAGAGTTCAGTAGTTGTGCAAGTACATCAAAGAATGAAGTCACCAATACATTTGTGAAGGATGATGACAAGAATGACTCTGAGCGTAGCAAAAGTAATGATATAGCAGAGAACGTTGAAAGTAAAGACAGCATCGAACCTCCAAGATGCAAGTCTAGAAGAGATTTTGCACAATCGCCGTATTCTTATAGTCAAACACCTAAAGCAAAAAGCCGCCAGATAGTTAAAAAATTGACGAAGAGCAAATCGCCTTCACAAGAAATTGAACGCTGCAGCCAAAGCACAACCGAAACTAAATGCATGCAAAATCTAAAGTGTCAACAATCAAACAGCGATGATGGAGGGGTCAATCTACAGTCTTTACATGAGGAAGAATGCAATTATTTTGCAGATATAATCTCTACTGAAATGAAAGATAGGACAACAATAGAACTTGATCAACAAGGCGGCAAAGTAACACAACATGAAACAAAACATACCGAAATCGAGGACTCTAAACCAAATCCAAGGAACTCACATTCCTTAAGCAAGAAAAACGTTACGATATCTGAAGATTCTGGGAATAGCTCAAAAACCAACAAGAAACGTTTTGTTGTAAGGCAACCTCTTTTAAAGCAAGGCGATGAGAAAAAAATGCATACTAAAAAATCTCTTACATATAAAGCAAAAACCCCGAGTTTTAACAACAATTCCAAGCAAAAGCCTAAACAATGTAAAAGTAATTTTGGATCTTGGGATCGTTATTCTGCAGAAACTTCCGGAAGGGATTCTGTGGGAGAAGCTGTAATAAATATACTCAAAGTAAACAATAGTTCACATAATTACAGTGATTTTGAAAACCACTTTGATGATTACTTTATGGCCAATAGTACATCAGGGCACTCTTTTGCTTCGCGGTATACAGCAAGTAGTTTCGAAACGAGTCCGTACAATAGCAGCAGTTACTCCAGTTCTCCCAAGCGATGTTATAAGCCTAAAGGACAATTATCGCTTCCTTCTATCGACAAAACCTTTCCGGGACAACTTGTCCATGGAGGTAATGACAACGTTAAAGGAAATTCGGATAGTGACATTTCCACAGGTGCTTTGGCTAGCAGGAGAAAGCAGTTACGTAAACCAGCCAACACAGTCGGTGCTAAAGATTGTATTGCGACTAAGAAGATTGGCGATTTTACAAAGCCAAAAGTACCTATCCAATTAAAGGCAGAAGCAATGCTTAGAGATGGACAATTAGAAGTTTTTGTTACAGATAAAGAAGATGTTGCCATAGGAATCAATTGTCTAAATGTAAAAATAACAGTTGTACACAAGTTTATTGAACCAAAACCGAGGTTTGTACCTAAACGTCAACCAGAAATACAGACAAAACGCAAGCTTTTAATTTCAAACAGAGAAGTTATAAAACAAAGAGCCATGTTGCCTCCATTCAATACTCATACAGACACACAGGCTAGTGACAGACATTACAAATGCTTTGAATACTAATTGTTGCAATTTCAGAATAAAATCATTATTGTCTCGAATAATGTTTTTACAAAAGTCCATCACATCAACAGTGTCATCTTTTTTTTTTTTTTTTTTTTCTTTTATAGGGCCTGGGCTTATCTCGCCCTTTATTTACATAAATTCAGATACAAATTATTCTGTTCTGCTATCTTTTCGGGGCCTTTTTGCGATGATGTGGCTGTTGGTAGTGGAGAAGCTTTATCTTTCTTAGAGATTTCCTCGGCCGGTGCTTCCGTTGACGAGTCTGTCTCTATTGGTTGAGCGGTATTGCCTAGTTCATCAGGTTTTGAGGAGTCATTGTCTAACATTAGAGCTGGAGTTCCAATCTCTGCAGTTGACTCGGACTTTTTGGCCAAAAATGCCCTCAGTCTGCGGTTATTCCTTTCAGAACGGGACTTTGATGACTTCTTTTTAGGTGGTAATGTCGACCTCTCTCTTTCCGCTATCTTCCCGGGGGTCCATTTTACAGTAAGTTTGTAACATCCATTCCGAGCTGATAAAACCCAGTCGGCGGTTTGGTGTTCTAACAAATGCAAAATGGTAAAGATATCACCAGATAATACGGGCTGTTGTTGGTGTGTTGCACTGCCATCATCAGACATTATGAGAGTTTCCTGACATGTTGATTACTTTGTGTGTAGTTCGGTATGTCATCACGGCAAGCTCATATACAACACTGTACATTGTCGGAAAATATAAAATTTATATGTACGAGCTTTACTGGGGCGGATCCAGCCATTTTTAAAAGGAGGGGGGGGGGGGGGGTCCCAACCCAGGATAAAGGGGGGGGTCCAACTATATGTCCCCATTCAAATGCATTGATCGTCACAAAAATGGGGGGTCCCACCCCGAACCCGCCCCCCCTTGGGTTCGCCACTGCTTTAGAAACAGGACGGAAAGCGAGGATTGCGAGGCTATTCTCCCTTTTCGTACCGAGTACAACTAAATTTCCGACAATGTACATATATATTATCCTGTAATTTACACCGGCACTTTAAAGTTATCTCTGATTGTTCAAAGAAATCAACATAGTATAAACATGACAAAATTTAACTTGGAGCAAAGAGGACCCTAAAATGAGTACCAGGAGACTTTACTTGTACATGTACAAATAAGTTATGTACCTGTTATTTGTACAATAGTTGGCTGATTGCAGGATAAATTAATGTTATACAGTCTGATCGTACTATCTAAACATTTTTGCAAATGACTGAAGCGAAAATCATAATTTTTTCTTAAATTTAATCATTTGTGGTACTTCTATAAAAGAAAGAGTCTCTGTGGTGCCAATTGAACGATATGCCAACCATAAATATACAAGTGATGAACAATTTGATACAAATAAGCTTTCAACAGATGCACCCGAACTTAACATATTTCATTTATTATTTTCAAGAAAACCAATAGTAACTTTTCAAATGGTTTCTTTTCTTGATAACAGTGACATTGAACTTTGACCCAAAATGAATATTCCCCTTCCCAATGCAGTCCGTCTGCAGGAATAAATTTCAGAAAGCAAGAAAAACTCAATTTACCATCCTGATATGATATTTTGAAAATATTCTTTTTAGCTCACCTGGCCCAATGGGCCAAGTGAGCTTTTCTCATCACTTGGCGTCCGTCGTCGTTGTCCGTTAACTATTACAAAAATCTTCTGGGCCAAATTTATCCAAACTTTACAGCAATCTTCATTGGGGTATCTAGTTTAAAAAATGTGTCCGATGACCCCGCCTACCAACCAATATGGCCGACATGGCTAAAAATAGAACATAGGGGTAAAATGCAGATTTTAACTTATATCTCTGAAACTAAAGCATTTAGAGCAAATGTGACAGGATAAAAATGTTCATCAGGTTAAGACTGCCCTGAAATTTTCAGACAAATCAGACCACCCGTAGTTGGGTTGCTACCCCTGAATTGGTAATTTTAAGGAAATTTTGCAGTTTTTGGTTATTATCTTGAATATTATTATAGATAGAGATAAACTGTAAACCGCAATAATGTTCAGCAAAGTAAGATCTACAAATAAGTTGTCATGACCAAAATGGTCAATTGACCCCTGAAGGAGTTATTGCCCTTTATAGTCAATTTTTAACAATTTTTTGTAAATTTTTGTAATCTTTTACAAAAATCTTCTCCTCTGAAACTACTGAAACAAATTTAACCAAACTTGGCCACAATCATCATTAGGGTATATAGTTTAAAAAATGTGTCAGATGACCCCATCTACCAACCAACATGGCCGACATGGCTAAAAATAGAACATAGGGGTAAAATGCAAGTTTTGTCTATTATTTTTTGAACTGTTATAAATAGAAAAAAATCTGAAAGAAGCAAAAATGTTCAGAATAATAAGCTCTACCAATTGTCCATATACATCAAAACTGTTAGACAAATTCTTATAGGAGTTATTGCCCATAAATGACAAATTTTACCTTTTTTTTTTTTCATTTTTGCCTATTATCATGAAAACTATGATATTTAGAGAGAAACATATTTTTTCTGTTATGCCTTATATGATTTAAATTATAATAGATAAATAAACACTTTAAATCACAAAAATGATCAGCAACGCAAGATCTACTAAAAAGTCAAATTTTGCTGATATAGTAAGTAGACTGTCACTCTTCATAGGAGTGATTGCCCTTAAATGAGGATTTTTTTTACCCTCTTTTGTGTTTTGAGCAAAAACTAAAGAAGATAGAGAAAATTAAACAGACTAAAAGATCAGTAATATAAGATCCACAAAATAGAGATTTTTGTCATGAAGTCTATTCTCGTCTACAATGTTGGAGAGTGTCCTTTGTTTGATATGCACATAGACCAAGGTGAGCGACACAGGCTCTTTAGAGCCTCTAGTTTAATTAACAGTAACCTTGAACTTTAACCTTTTAAACCCAAAATCAAAAGTCTCTTTTCCTCTTCCCGGTCTTCCATTTGTGTAACAGTGACCTTGAACTTATTGACCCCCAAAATCAATAGCTTTTTTCCTTTGATCTGTATATAAAGTTTCATTCCAATTAGGCAAGAGAAACAATGAGCTTGAAATTTGACATTTTGACCCTTAAATTAATAATATTCTTCCCCTTCCCTTTGTCTCCCATCTGTATAAGTTAAATTCCAATTATTAACGTAAGACAAACTCAAGTCACCATTCGAAAACCATTTCTACAATAAACAAGAGTGCACCTGCTGAAATATCTCGCCTGCTTTACTAACCATGATTGATTTTATGTTGATAGTCCTAAAGATAAAGTTTTACTTCAAGTATCACATTAACTTAACATTATCAATGACCCATGAAAAGGAGGTTCTGGTCAGATAAACCCTGACAGACTGACATGTACACCTTACAATCATTTCATACGCCAAATATAGTTGACCTACTGCGTAAAGTAATTAAAGAGACAGACCAAACAAAAAACTTAATATTGACCAATGAACCATAAAAATGAGGTCAAGGTCAGATAAATCCTGACAGACTGACATGTACACCTTACAGTCATTCCATACACCAAATATAGTTGACCTACTACTTACAGTCCTAATCACATAACTTTAACCTTGAATACTGATCCATAAAATGAGGTAAAAGGTCAGGTGAACCCTGTTTGACCGACGTGTAGACCTTGCAAGGAACCCATATACCAAATATAGTTAACTGATTACTTATAAGAGAGAAATTCACATGACATGAAAACTTAACTTTGTCACATAAGGCATCGACTCCAGGTCGTCTACCCTCTGAATTATAAAGCGTTATAAAAATAGTTTATGAAGACGCCACCGCTGCCACTACCAGATTGTAATCCAAAGACAAAAAAATTGTTTTAAGTAACAATTACCTTGAACTTAGACATAAAACATTCTCTCCAAAATCATTCATTGTCTTCTTTTTCATTATATCTACAATCTGTGTAAGTTATTTGCTATTTGGGGTGCTTTGTATTAATGGAGACCTTTGATAGTTTCTGTTTCATTTATTCCTAACTTTTTAGACTTAAGGCAATTTAGAACTTGAAATTTTGTTTAGAATGATTAATTGATTGATTGGTGTTTAACGCCACTTTCAACACTATTGTGCTATTTCGTGGCGGTCCGTTTTTATTGGTGGAGGAAGCCTGAGTACTTGGAGAGAACCATCGACCTTCGGTAGGAAAAACATTTTGTATAGACATCTGTTTGTTGTTGAAAACTGTAGGTTGACTTCTAGGTGTCTGTTGATTATTTGTGTTGTTTGGTTGCTGTCTCATTGACAAATGTCACACATCTCATTTTATTCATATAAAAAGATCATCTTTTTAGTAAACAATTTTTAGCAAAGAACTTCATTTATTTATAAAATATATTATTTGTAACAAAATATTAAAATATTATCTAAATCATCATTATTTGATAGAAATAAAATCTGCATATCCCACTTAACAATTTTTACAATTAACTCCCAACACTATGACACCACCAATTTACATAAAAAAATGTAAAGTATTACAATTCAATGGACCTGCATAGAATACATGAAGCAAAGAAATTTTAAAACTTTCCCGGTAATACATGAGACATTACAATTAAAACCACTTTTCCTATAATGTTGTAGTGTACTTATTGTATATAATCATTACTATTCATGATACAGGTATTCATTTTCATGAAAATTTTCCTGGTAATATCAAGCTTTAAACCTGAGTATCTATATCATATTATCTCTACACAAATAAGGAAAACGATCTCAATACATAAATTAATTGAGTTCCAGATACATATAGTTGCAGAATGTTAAGTACATAAAATATCAATGTGAATTACATGATCAGATTCCACATTTAAAAAAACAATTTGTTATATGACCTGGCGTAATTGTTTAGTCTGTAATGTGATAAAGAAATAGGTAATAATTTTGAAAAGCCAACAATCACAACTTAAAAATGACATAAATAGACTAGTGTAAGGTTAATTCATTTTTTTAAAGTGCATCTCTTGTGGAAACAACATATTTTAACGGGAAAATACTAAACAGCAAGGTCACATCAGGACAGCATTTTCTCAAAATACCGAAAAATAGAATTTCAATTATCAGAGAGTGTAAATCTTGATGGATAACTGAACACAGAAATCCAACTGTTTTAATAGTTGTTAGTGATGTCTCAAAAGAATGCTTTTGAAGCAAACTAAGTTTTCAACTGGAAACAGACAAGTTTGCAGATTCTGAAAATATTTACAGGCAAAACTATTAAAAGAGAGCTCTGGTACTATCTCCAAGCTTTAATTCAAAGAAAAATAAAATTGTCATTCAAAAACAATACGTTTTGCAAATTTTTCTGATTTTCAAGGACTATAATTCCTAAACAGTGGTGGTTAAAATAGTTTGATAGAATTTTACAAATTTTTTAGTGTGTGCATCAACAAAGGTGAAATCATTACAAACGAAGTGAGCACAAACAGCAACACTGAAATAGAAAAAAATTAAGAAAAATGATTGAAAACTGTATAGATGATCCCTTTTTTGCCATATTTGTGTTTTCCATTGTTCTTACAACATCATGAAAGAGACGTCCAGCATGTCTCACATTTTTGGATTTTCTAAGTTGATTTCAATATCAAAATCTTGGCTTAGTTTGTGAACTTTCATTGGAAATACACAAAAGTGCTCAGCTTGGTTTTTAGGTCCTAGTTAAAAGTTATAAACTGCTTAAAAACATACTTTAAAAAAGTTTGTACAAACAAATGGTATAGCCTATAAACGCAATATAAACAGTTAAAATTAAAAAATATGAAAGCAAGAAAATATGATAAAGTGGCCACAGTATATGCAACCCAAAGATTAAATGACAACTGTACCTTTAAAGGTCACAGGAGAAATAGATGATGAAGCTTACAGAAACATAAATATTGGTGGATTCAAAAGGGCTTCTTGATTGGAACACCACTTTTTCATTTATATTTATGTTTTTAAGAGGTAGGTTATAACAGATCATAAGGATGTATAACAGTAAGCAGATATAACACTGCAAAAAAGACTTAGGAGAGACATTTCAATTTAAACTTAAATATTCCACCATTTAATCCATGAAAACATAGAATCAATATTTTTGCTCTTGTTCATTTTCGAACAGATTGTTTTTTTTTATTATTTCTTCTTGGTAAAAAATTGTGAAAATAGTATAAGCATGATAAAATATATAGGCCAAATTAACATTATGCAACATTCCAAATACATAGGATAGAATCTAATAAACAGCTTACACTTGCAGCATAGTCTTAAAAGTTTGCTTATCTATTTTCTTAAAATACCTTAACTGATTTGCTGTTATTTACATGCATACAGTATTAATTCAAACAGGAGAACTTTCTCTGATGTGTACAAAGTATTAACAATGCCTACATCTAAAATCATTCTAAAATAAATAATAAACAGGGTTTTTTTCAGTGCATGTAACTTTCATCAATTATATTATTATATGTTGAGGAATTATATATACTGAGGATTCATTTATTTTCGTTGGCACCAATTTTTGTGGATTGAGAAAAACTTTCATGTTCGTTGATATCTAATTTCGTGGTTTTGCCGAAGTCTGCATAAGAGCCTATGGAAATTTGTCATTCGTTGAACATTTAATTTCGTGGTTCACCTATACCCACGAAATCCACTAAAATTGGTATCCAACGAATAATAATGAATTCACAGTACATGTATATATTTTCTGTCTGTTTTATGATAATTCTCTACACAAAATGGTTGAATTTTAGATTTTCAATATGCAAGCTTTAGTATTTTAAAAAAATAACTTCCGATTGGAGAAAGAAGAATTTCTTCCTGAGTTAAGATAAGACAACATAGTAACCAATAACATGATATCACAACAAATCATCTACCAATCAAAGAACCTGAAATTACTGGTTTATTGCTTGATACAATTTTAACCCTTGTGGGATTTATTTTTAGAGTCAATTTCCTAATGCATGCAGAGTAAGAAGATATAAGAAAACGTGGTAAGAGTTTGGTTGGCTTGCTTGCCTTGTTTGTATTAATGTTTGCTCAAGCATTGTAATTAAGATTGACATCTGCAAACAATATAAGTAGGCAGAGTTAAACCTGTACATAGGTAAATTTGATTATTTGATAATGTCCAATCAATAATGTATACAAGTTTAACTCCGCCTTTTATATTGTTTTCAGATGTCAATCTTAATTACAATATATGCTTGACCAAACATTAATACAAACAAACAAAGCAAGGCAAGCAAGCCAACCAAACTCTTACTCTGCATGCATTAGGAAATTGACTCTAACCACCAGACTGAGTGTTGTATGAAATCACCAAACAATGGAATAAAATTATTTATACATATAACAAGAGTGCACACGCTGAAATGTCTCGCCTTCTTTACTAAACACTGCTATTATGTTGATAGTTCTAAATATAAAGCTTTATTACAACTGTCACATAAACTTAACATTAACCAAGAAAACTAAACATTGACCAATGAACCATGAAAATGAGGTCAAGGTCAGATGAACCATGCCAGGCAGGCATGTACAGCTAACGATTCTTCCATACAACAAATATAGTTGACCTATTGCTTATAGTTTAAGAAAAACAGACCAAAACATAAAAACTTAACATTGAGCAATGAACTGTGAAAATGAGGTCAAGGTCAAATAAAACCTGCACGACTGACATATACATCATAAAATATTTCCATACACCAAATATAGTTGACCTATTGCATTTAGTATTAGAAAAAAAGACCAAAACTCAAAACCTTAACTTTGACCACTGAACCATGAAAATGAGGTCAAGGTCAAATGACACCTGCCAGCTAGACATGTACACCTTACAATCATTCCATACACCAAATATAGTAGACCTATTGCATACAGTATAAGAAAAACAGACCAAAACACAAAAACTTAACTATAACCACTGAACCATGAAAATGAGGCCAAGGTCAGATCACACCTGCCAGTTGGACATGTACACCTTACAGTCCTTCCATACACTGAATATACTTGACCTATTGCTTATAGTATCTGAGATATGGACTTGACCACCAAAACTTAACCTTGTTCACTGATCCATGAAATGAGGTCGAGGTCAATTGAAAACTGTCTGACGGGCATGAGGACCTTGCAAGGTACGTACATACCAAATATAGTTTTCCTACTACTTATAATAAGAGAGAATTTAACATTACAAAAAAATGTTAATTTTTTTTTCAAGTAGTCACTGAACCATGAAAATGAGGTCAAGGACATTGGACATGTGACTGACGGAAACTTGGTAACATGAGGCATCCATATACAAAGTATGAAGCATACAGATCTTCCACCTTCTAAAATATAAAGCTTTTAAGAAGTAAGCTAACGCCGCCACCGCCGCCGGATCACTATCCGTATGTCGAGCTTTCTGCGACAAAAGTCGCAGGCTCGACAATAAAAAAATTATATTATACATATCACAACATCCCTATTATGAACATTTCAGAACTGTTGTCAAACTATTTTCAAAGTCACATATATAAAAGGCAAACTGAATTTCATATTCAATATTTGATTAAGCCTCATGATAAGTTCATGAAAAATAATATATTAATACCTTTGGAGATAATATAGTGTATTGAAAATTTTCAAGGCATAGTAAATTATAAAAAAGTGCACCTTACATCTAAATTTAATATGAATTGATGGTACAGTAATTTTTCAAATAAATGTCTTCAATTTACTTGTAAATTTTCATTGTATACAGTTTAATAGTCAAAAGCCATAATTACATAACAATGTTTTGAGGAACAACATTATATTTTTAGTAATGGCCATATTTGTGTAAATTTCACCTCTCTCAATGCTATACCTTGTTTATGGTAACCTTTGATGGAGAGTTGTCTCATTGGCAATCATACCACATCTTCTTATTTTTATATTTGTAAACAAATAAGGTTAAGAAAGGCAGAAAAATCTCAAACAAATGACAGAAATATCAATGAATATCTGTTTTTGTTGTGTTTGGCAGTTTGATTGATGATAACCCTCCAAATACTAACAAAGCAGCAACAATTATCATAGGTATTGCACAATGTACATCAATTAATTCACCAAATGTCAAATTGCCTAAAATTGCTGCTATTCTACCAATACCAGACATAATACCAAAAGCTGTTGACCTGAAATGACAAAAAATAACTTTCAAAAAGCATTTACTTACACTTATAACAGCATATTTCAGTCATCCTCGTGTTAACAAAAAGAATTTCTTACTATTGTAAATCAAACTTTTAATAAGAGTTTGCGAACATTCCTTAGTAACCCCATAAATATAATACAACCTACTTTACTGATCATGTTTGAATTTTATGTTGAAACTTTAAATCTTTTAAGATCAAGGTTTTACTGGTACCACATAAACTTAAATGATCCATGAACAGTAGGTCAAGTTCAGATTAAATCTTCCAGATGTACATGTACACCTTACAATCATTCCATACACCAAATAGAGTTGACCTATTTCTTATAGTATCTGAGATACAGACCTAATCATGAAAATAAGGTCAAGGTTAGATTAACCAAGAAAATCTTGTGACAATAAAACTAGACATTTTTTGAAAATGAGGTCATGGACAACACACATGTGTAAGACAGAAAATAAGGCAAAATAAGGCAAAATTGAATGCAAGATATGGGTCATCAAGCTCTTTTACCTTCTGAAATGTTAAGCTTTATACAAATAGTCTATGCCTTCGTCACAGCCTCATTAGCATCTCTATGTCTCAAAAACATATTTCAACATCAATGTAATTAGACTTCAGCAGTTTTTATCACATGGCAGTTTGTCAACATAATATGTTTTTATTATTTCTTTTACAGTTTATATCATTAAGAATTGTATAGATTCAGTTTTGAATTGGTAATGAGATACATGTATGATGTATGTTGAAGGAAATTTAAAAAAGAAAATAATAATAAATTGACATTGAAAAATTGAAAACTGAAATATTATCTGTTTTTTGTACTATATTAGTCCTTATCTAAGAATTCAGAAATAATTTAAAATAAATCTTTTGATCAGTTTAAAAAATAATATGTTTATACTTTTTTTTTAACTCAAAAGAATTTAAAGTAACTGAGGAAGTATTCTATATATTACCTAAGTGATGTAGGAAGTATTCTATATATTACCTAAGTGATGTAGGAAGTATTCTATATATTACCTAAGTGATGTAGGAAGTATTATATATATTACCTAAGTGATGTAGGAAGTATTATATATATTACCTAAGTGATGTAGGAAGTATTATATATATTACCTAAGTGATGTAGGAAGTATTATATATATTACCTAAGTGATGTAGGAAGTATTATATATATTACCTAAGTGATGTAGGAAGTATTATATAAATTACCTAAGTGATGTAGGAAATAATTCAGCTGATAAAACATCTAAGGCATTCCATCCTACAGTAGATACAGCACCAAATACACAGGATATACCCAGATTCTCATATTTATTGTGGATTAGTGGTATGAAGAACACACTCACACCTGACAACACCATACTCATTGCTGAAAAACACATAAATTACAAGTTTTACCAAGATATCAGAGGTATAAATAACAATCTCATAATACTATATACATGTATATATATTCCAGATATTTATTTCTACCTACTAGATTTAATTTATTCACCAAAAATTGATTTTCCCCTAAATGATCTTAAGAAATAATCATTTCCCTGGAATGGGTTAAAAAATATATTTCTTGAATTTAAGTATAAATATGACGACAATTTTTTTTATAATGGATTTTTGAATGTACTTTGTTTATCATTTAAATCTCTTCCAGGAAAATTTCAGAAAATCTTTTGTATATTAATTTTGGTGTGAGTCTATATACACATATAAATTTAGATTACATGAAACAGGTACTGATTTTCCATTCATCTGCTTTTCAACAAACTAAATTAAATAACAGCAGGTCTTCCACTCTGTAAAACCAGATTAAATATGTATGTAGCACTGAAATGTATAAGGTCTATTCCAGAAAACTTTTTGGATGGCATTCTTAACCTCCCATTGGAATAGCCATTGGATTTTTTCATGACCTAAATGTTAGGTTCTTCCACTAAATATTTTGCAAAATATCTGGTATCTTTTTCTTACCTAATAACTGTTTTCGTCCTACTTTGTCCATTAAGAAAATTGTGAGAATATTTCCTGGTAAGTTGGACAGAGCAGTCATAAATCCTGAGAAATACACCCAATTGTCCTTGTAATTACATGTAGTTTCATTTTTACTTGTCTGGTTTATAAAATTGGAATGATCACATGGAGAACCACCATCCTTCATTCGACTAAATAACTCTGGAAACCACATCCAAAGTCCATAGTACCTTTAAAAAAAAAGAATAAGAATGTATAAATACAAGTAACATGCACAGATCTAAATATTTTTCTGAACAGACTCCATCCTCACTCAGAAATGTTACAAATGCAGATAGGAAATTTCCAAAGCCCAAACAGAATTATATATAAACTGTTAACACAGAGATATGACTCGCCTATTTGTTATTTTGATAATGCAAATGTTGAAATTAAAATAGCAATACTTTAACATGTAAGTTATGCAAATATCCAAAGTTGATGAACCATGACTGAAGGTACAGGGCTAAAACATCTCCATGGAAATGAGATGTGCCAATGGTAGTACAACTGCATACCAAATACCATTGACTTTTCATAAGTCATTCCCTTTAAACAAACCTAAACACAAACATTAACTTGTAAACTTAGTAAAAGTTTCAAAGTCAATGAACCATAAATAGGGAGTGGGGTTATATAATCTCCATGGAAATGAAACTTGCAAATGCCAATACATTTGCAAACCAAATATCATTGACTTAACATTAGTGGTTCATCTTAAACTGACCTAATCACAAACTAATACATGTAAACTAAGCAAATGTTTCAAAGTCAATAGACCATGACTGAGGGGGTAGGCCCAAAACTAGATCTAATCACAAACTAATACATTGTTGACGCCTCCACCACCGCCACCGTGGCCGGAAACAGCATACCTATGTCTTGCTTTTTGACTCAATCAAGGCAAGACAAAAACTGTTCATCTACTCAGGATCAGCTTAGTGCCAAATTTTATCAAGTTACATTAAAAATACTTATTGTGAACATTTTTTTCAAATAAAATATTAAGAAATACTCTTGAAGCTGTTGCAAAATACTTCATACTTAATGTGTATGAGATCTGTGCTGCATATCCTGAGACTGCTGTTTAACAATCCAATAAAGTTTTGGTTTGCCAATAGTGTTAATAAAAACATACAAATGTTCTAAAATTGATATGGCTTACACAAGCACAGATAAGCATCATTGGCACACTACATGTGAAATTACAAACATGTGGAGGAGATTTAATGAATATCAGTACTGTAGTTGAAGAGTTGCTGTCGCCAATTGGCGATTTGATGGTAGCAAATGCAGTTTTACTGGCAACGCATAGAGGAGAACATGATGATGTCATAAACAATGTTATTGATGTTGCCTTATAGCAATAAACAGATTATCCATGGTCTTTCAAGTGGAAGATGGATCTCTGCTACATCTCATCTTTAGGACTGTGGCCCTTCAATGAGATTGAAGCAAGGAAACTCTCTCTTGTTGTCAGAACCTTAGATAATCTATAAATTTCATAATAAAATGATATTTTCTTCTTTTTGTCAATTGAAAATTTCTCAAGTATCAATATCAAAAGCAATAGCTACCTGGCTATTGCTTAGCCTGGGAACTTCCTGTCTGCAAGCATAGGCCTCAACTCAGTTATAGAACATGTGATACAAAACATAAGATTTTTATACGACTGCAAAAAAATTTTGCGATCGTATAATGGTATGTTGTTGGCGTTGTCGTCTGGCGTCGTCCATAAAAAACACATTGGTTTTCGCACTCTAACTTTAGTTTAAGTGAATGGATCTCTATGAAATTTATCATAAGGTTCAATACCACAAAAGAAAGGTTGGGATTGATTTTGGAGGTTATGGTACCAACAGTTAAGGAATTAGGGGCCAAAAAGGGGCCAAAAAAAAACATTTTTGTAACTTCCAGACATAACTTGTGTATTAGTGTATGGATCTCTCTGACATTGTACCACAAGGTTCCATATCACAAAGGGAATGCTGTGATTGATTTTGGGAGTAATTGCCTCAAAATTTTAGGAATTAGGGGCCAAAATAGGGGCAAAAAACAAGCATTTTTATATGGACAAATACTTAAGTACAAAACATAATTTAAAGCAGTGTAAGGGAGATAAACCAAATACATCATTTGTATAACCTCCCTTACACTGCTTTTAAATTATGTATAAAGTAATGGTTGATGAACAATTAAGACAATTTAAAACAGTGTAAGGGAGGTAATCCACATGCAACGTTTTGATTACTTCCCTTACACTGCTTTTAAATTATGTTTAAAGAAATGCATATTTATAAAGGAAGAATAGTAAAAATATCTGCAAATGTTGCATCTTTTTTTTTTTACAAAAAAATCCATATGAAAGATTTGACACCATATTTTAAATTCTATTATAAAATAGATTAAGTTAGCACTATGGTAAATTTAAATGGGTAATTATGGTTGCAAATTCCATTGGAAATTTGAATTGAGATTATGACCATATCTTGAGGGAAAGAAACTTTTTTGGGGGAAAAGGTGGGGGGGGGGGGGGGGGTAAAAAGAAATTGTGGGGGGTCAATTTTTTCTCATTTCAGATTTCAGAAATTAAAAAAAATTATACTTCAAATATTATTTTGTTTTCAAATTTCAAATATTGAAAAATTTCAAGAAGTAATCTTTAATTGCACAGTATGGCGCATTAAATTTGTAAAATCTTTGACCACATTTATTTATTTGTTATGCCAAATCTGACCGTGTATTTAGATTTTTAATTTTGGGTCCAGTTTTCAAATTGGTCTACATTAAGGTCCAAAGGGTCCAAAATTAAACTTAGTTTGATTTTAACAAAAATTGAATATATGGGGTTATTTGATATGCTGAATCTAAACATGTATTTAGAATATTGATTTCGGGCCCAGTTTTCAAGTTGGTCCAAATTGGGGTCCAAAATTAAACTTTGTTTGATTTCAACAAAAATTGAATATATGGGGTGCTTTGATATGCTGAATCTAACCATGTATTTAGATTTTTTATTTGTGGGCCCCGCTATCAAATTGGTTCATATTGAGGTCAAAAGGGTCCAAAATTAAATTTTGTTTTATTTCATCAAAAATTGAATTATTGGGGTTCTTTGATATGCCAAATCTAACCGTGTATTTAGATTTTTAATTTTGGGTCCAGTTTTCAAATTGGTCTACATTAACGTCCAAAGGGTCATAAATTAAACTTAGTTTGATTTTAACAAAAATTGAATATATGGGGTTCTTTGATATGCTGAATCAAAACATGTATTTAGATTTTTGATTTCGGGCCCAGTTTTCAAGTTGATTCAAATTGGGGTCCAAAATTAAACTTTGGTTGATTTCAACAAAAATTGAATATATGGGGTTCTTTGATATGCTGAATCTAACCATGTATTTAGATTTTTTATTTGTGGACCCCGCTATCAAATTGGTTCATATTGAGGTCAAAAGGGTCCAAAATTAAACTTTGTTTTATTTCATCAAAAATTGAATTATTGGGGTCCTTTGATATGCCACATTTAACCGTGTATTTAGATTTTAAATTTTGGGTCCCGTTTTTTAAATTGGTCTACATTAAGGTCCAAAGGGTTCAAAATTAAACTTAGTTTGATTTTAACAAAAATTGAATTCTTGGGGTTCTTTGATATGCTGAATCTAAACATGTGTTTAGATTTTTGATTATAGGCCCAGTTTTCAAGTTGGTCCAAGTTGGGGTCCAAAATTAAACTTTGTTTGATTTGAACAAAAATTGAATATATGGGGTTCTTTGATATGCTGAATCTAACCATGTATTTTGATTTTTGGGCCCCGTTATCAAATTGGTCCAAAGGTCAAAAGGGTCCAAAATTAAACTTTGTTTGATTTCATCAAAAATTGAATTCTTTGGATCTTTGATATGCTGAATCTAACCATGTATTTAGATTTTGGATATTGGACCATAATAGGTAAATTAAAAATTTTTAATTTCTTAGACCACATTCATTCTGTGTCAGAAACCTATGCTGTGTCAAATATTTAATCACAATCCAAATTCAGAGCTGTATCAAGCGGTCGTATCAAGCTGCGCCCAGCGGAGCATTTTATTTATATTATATAAAGTTGTATGTTTGAATTTCCTCTCCTCAATTGATTATACCTGCACTCTAATATGATCAACAAATTTGTATCAAATATAGTTTTAAGCATTGCATTACAAAATACTGGAAACTTACCCAAAAGCTAAAACAAAATTGACTATTAACATTAAAACTGTACTCTTCAATAAAGGAGGTCGAAATAATTGTTTTGTTGATTCTTTTAACTGAAATGGAAAGCAAATATACAATATATACATAAGGCTTTGTCTTAAAATCATCTACTCAAAATCAAATGCTTTAGATTTATATGTAATTTTACAATGGAGGAAAAAATATATAAGTGTGAAAAAAAAAATTCAATGTTATAATTCAATGGAAAAATCATGTACATTTGTAATAATAAAATTAATTAAATCAAGATAACTGTAATGCTGACTTTTTAAAGACATCAATTATATCAATAGAATGTTGAGGTCTTCTCCATTTAATCCTACCTTCTCTTAGGAATGCCTATGAAAACTGTCACTTAACCAAACTTCTTCACAAAATGTCAAAAGAAATTCAAATAAATATATCAACAGTCGTGTCAGTTCCTGTCTTTTCCAAGTACTGTAATACAAATGTATAAACAATATTGTGTTTAAAAGTCCAGAGATTTCTGTTACATTTTATACCTGTTTTGTTATCTTGTTATATAGACGTCAGAAAACAACCATACACAAAACACAGAAAAAGACGACCAACCCAAAGTTTATGCAGCATTATTCTGTATTTTATTTCTGACATATCCTTTTCCAAACTCTTATGTAAATACATTACTCCAGTCAAATCTGTTCATATAAAGGTTGTTGGATGTCAAAGAAATCTTGGACAGCATGTCTTATAAAGATTAAAAAAATAATCATAACCAAAAGGGTCAATCCCTTTAGGCAATGTTGATCTTAGATTGTATAAGCTATTCTTTTCAGCTAACTTTTGGTCATATAGCTCATCAAGTTTCTACACATACTTGGCTTACATTTTTTCAGTTTTAAGTGTCCCTGATGTAAACATTTTAGACCTCCAAATATATAATGTGTGATGATTATTTACCACAGTACAACCTGTTCCTAGTTTAGCTATACAGCCTACATCTTCTCCACTATGTTGTTCTAGATATTCAGCTCTACTAGTATCTGTGGCTAATATCAGGGATTTTATCTACAAAAAACATAACTTTAGTTCAGATTAGACAGCTTGGAATAGATAAGAAATAAATAGTGTTTGATATGTTCTTTTTTCAGTAAGATAAAGGATGTATATGATACAAAATAACTACCATGATGGGTGAATAAAAGGATGGCTTGTCTTTATGAAGTGTAATGTTGACTGTTAAAAAACTAATAAAATTGAGAATGGAAATTGGAAATGTGTCAAAAAAATTGAGAATGGAAATGGGGAATGTGTCAAAGAGACAACAACCCGACCAAAGAGCAAAAAACAGCCGAAGGCCACCAATGGGTCTTCAACACAGCGAGAAAATCCCGCACCCGGAGGCTGGCTTCAGCTGGCCCCTAAACAAAAATATGTACTAGTTCAGTTAAAATGGACGTCATACTAAACTCCAAAACATATAAATGAACTAAAATTAAAAATAATACAAATAAATCTATTTTATCAGTAAAAGAAAACGATAAAAAAAATTCACTGGGTGCTATCTCTTGATTATGAAAAATCTTTTGTCCAAATTTGTAAAATTCCACGAAGATTTGATATAGTCAATCAAGTTTTAAGAACTTAAACCAAAGACTATACCTAAATGTTGACTGCCTAAAAAGGACAATGTCTAAAAACCAGAGCAAATACTGTACTGAAGGGGTTAATAGTTGACCAGTTTTGAGGCTGAATTTCTTTCTTTGCCAGATATTAATGCTTTCAAGTAGATATAATAAAATTTTACAAATTTATATACTTGTATTATCCAACTTGTTCTCATCTAGAATATGCATAATTCTGGCTGCCCATTATGCAATGATAATTAATGAGCTTAACTCCTATTAAGTGGACAGCTGATTTTTAATAAATTTACTATTTTCTGTAATTAAAACAACTGAAATGAACACATGTGATTTGCAACAAACCAATACAAATCCTGCCCACAAACATGTTAACCCTGCCACATTCTGTACGTGCCTGTCCCAAGTCAGGAGCCTCTATTTCAGTGGTCGGTTTTTGTTGCTGTTTATCATATTTGATTTTTCTTTCTTGTTTTGTACATAAATAAGGCCGTTAGTTATCTTGTTTGAATTGTTATTTATTTGTCATTTCGGAGCCTTTTATAGCTTTCTATGCCGTATGGGTTTTGCTCATTGTAGAAGGCTGTATGGTGACTTATAGTTGTTAACCTTCTACATCATTTGGTCTCTGGTGGAGAATTGTCTCATTGGCATTTATATCTAATCTTTTTATTTTTAATATGATTATATTCATGAAAATCACAATCAGGAATTTACATGTATCCCCAGTCTATCACCATTACTTTGTATTCTTTTGACTTCCTATGTGAGAAGTTATATTACCTTGTATTCTTTTGACTTCCTATGTGAGAAGTTATATTACCTTGTATTCTTTTGACTTCCTATGTGAGAAGTTATATTACCTTGTATTCTTTTGACTTCCTATGTGAGAAGTTATATTACCTTGTATTCTTTTGACTTCCTATGTGAGAAGTTATATTACCTTGTATTCTTTTGACTTCCTATGTGAGAAGTTATATTACCTTGTATTCTTTTGACCTCCTATGTGAGAAGTTATATTACCTTGTATTCTTTTGACATTCTATGTGAGAAGTTATATTACCTTGTATTCTTTTGACTTCCTATGTGAGAAGTTATATTACCTTGTATTCTTTTGACTTCCTATGTGAGAAGTTATATTACCTTGTATTCTTTTGACTTCCTATGTGAGAAGTTATATTACCTTGTATTCTTTTGACTTCCCATGTGAGAAGTTATATTACCTTGTATTCTTTTGACTTCCTATGTGAGAAGTTATATTACCTTGTATTCTTTTGACTTCCTATGTGAGAAGTTATATTACCTTGTATTCTTTTGACCTCCTATGTGAGAAGTTATATTAACTTGTATTCTTTTGACCTCCTATGTGAGAAGTTATATTACCTTGTATTCTTTTGACTTCCTATGTGAGAAGTTACTGTCATGTACTTTACTTAGTACTTTGATGGCTTCAGATGCTTTTCCAGCCTAGATAAATAAAACAAAAGAACAAATGAAAATAGGAATTCAAAGGTATTGGGCAGATGGACAAGAAACTATTTTGAAGTGAAACAAATTCCTAAAGGTCTTAGAGTTTCCGAAGTTCAATTTGAGCAATTTCGGTATTAACACCTGATAATTTTTAAAACATGTCTCCATTTTATAAAATACAGAACTTAGCACTTGTAAAAAGATGTAACCTACCTGTTATGAGATTTAAAAATTGTAGCATATAAATTTGCTGACCATAGATCTACAAATTATAAAAAATATATAACAAGGACCATCAGAGCATTGTTTCAGCAGCTAACATAGATGGAACATCTTAATCCACAAAATTTGAGGATAGAGCATTAAAATATTCTCAACAGAATTATTTGTTTTTTATATACCAAATCTCTTCCAATAAGCAACAGAATATATAATACTGTTACTGATTTGGACAATAATGCTAGTGCAACTTTACTTGAGAAAATGGGTACCAGTCTTCAGCAAAGATGGTATGGTGATGTTGAGATCTTATATATCAAATTGTCAGGGAAATATTACAAATATAAAAAGAGGTGTCTTCACAATATGTCAGGCTCTAAATCCCCTAAAGTCTATTAACAAGTATAAATTTAATTTACTGTATATATATATATATCAAATAAATAAATTTTACAATTACTTACTATAAGAAGAAATTTTGGACTTTCTGGCATCAATGTGAAGAAGAAAGCTGATGACAGACTGGGTACAGCACATGAAGCTACAAATATCCTCCAGCTAGAGAATTTAAAACTTGATGAGATGTATCCTATATCACGTGGAATTATTCCCCATGCCAAGCCTACAAAACAAATCAAAGTAGTGTGTTCACGAAGTATCAATATTGTACAAAATCAACCAGTTCTGATGTGTTAGAACACTTATGATGTCACACTCTAATGAAGAAAATCATAGTTTTTGCTTCAAGCGACATTGGCCACATGCAAGGACCACCATAGTTTTTTTAGTATTAGTATCTGATCCATATACATCTTTATATAACAAAATTTTGGTCAAAGGTTGTGGCCAATGTTTTTTTTCAGGAGGGAATAAACATTACAAATGTATAAAAACAGACTAAAATACTGTATAATATCATATTTTTGAAGCTACAAAAATGATTAAAACGAACAGCAGACAGAAAAGGGGTCTAGTATATCTTGATTTGCATATCTAAGATCATAATTATAGATTTTTGCATGTGATATTACAAGGTTAAATTTTTTGGGCCAAATTAAGGCCTTCGTGGCCCTACTCCTTTTGTATGTCAGTTTATTTTCCACATTTGAATTTCAACAACAAGCACTTATCTAAAATGTTGAATAAACCTAGAAATAAAAAAACAAATATTTTTTTTTTATATGAATTATCAATGAGTCAGCAACAAACATATGCAAAAAAAGAGGTTCCTTAGAACCTGAATCGCTATGTTGTGAAAAAATATATCTTGTGTATTGCTGATCATTTTTGCTGTTTCCAAATTCTACCTGTCTGTTATAGTTTTTATAGATATCAGGCTAAAACTGGTAAATTGGTCACTTTTTTATCTGAACAATTTTGCTATTTACATTAGTTTCAGGAGAAAACCCTGTAAAAATGGGTAAAAGTTGTCTTCCAAGGGCAAACACTCCTATATGGGTCAATTGATGATTTTGGCCAGGCTGACTTATTTGTACAGGGGGTAGATCTTTTTAGCTGAAATTTTTTACTTTTTTAAGATTCTCTCTATATAATATAATTTTTCGCAAAAATGCCAAAAAAGTGTCAACAATTATCATTCAAGGGCATAAGGGGTCAATTAACAATTTTGGGCCATGTCGACTTATTTGTAGATCTTATTGTTCTTGTCATTTACAAAAACAAAGGTTTCTATCCATCTGTATTAGATTTGAAATTGATAACTAAAACTTGCAAAATTTGCTAAAAATTGACATTTCAGGGGCTATAACTCCATATTAGGTTGTCCAACTTTTCTGAAAATTCCAAAGGAGATAGAACTTCACCTGTTGGTAATTTTTATATCTATGTCAGTTTTGCGATTACTGCTTTAGTTTTTAAGATATAAGCCAAAAACTGTGAAATTTGCTAACAAGAGTGCACACACTGAAATGTCTTGCCTGCTTTACTGACAATTGATTTTATGTTGATAGTCCTAAATATAAAGCTTTACTACAAGTATCACATAAACTAAACATGACCCAAAAAAATGAGGTCAAGGTCAGATAAACCAAACCAGAAATACATGTACCCCTTACAATCATTCCATACACCAAATATAGTTGACCTATTGCTTATAGTTTCTTAAAAACAAACTTAACCAGGAAAACTTAACATTGACCAATGAACCAAGAAATGAGGTCAAGGTCAGATGAACCATGCCAGACAGATATGTACACCTCACAATCAATATATGCATTAAATATAGTCGACATATTGCTTATAGTATCTAAGAAACAAACTTAACCATGAAAACTTAAAGGGGCACTAGCTACGAGATATATAAACAAGAGGCTCTCAAGAGCCTGAATCGCTCACCTGTATTTCAGAGGAGAAGATTTTTAAATGTTACTGAAATACAGGAGAAGATTTTTAAATGTTAGCAAACTTGATGAACAAATTGTGTAAAATTGTCTTTAAAGGCCAATAACTCCTTAAGGGGTCAATTGACAATTTTGGTCATATTAACTTTTTTGTAGATCTTACTTTGCTGAACATTATTGCTGCTTACAGTTTATATATATCTATAATAATATTCAAAATAATAACAAAAAACTGCAAAATTTTGTTAAAACTACCAATTCGGTGGAAGCAACCCAACAATGGGTTGTTCGATTCGTCTGAAAATTTCAGGGCCGATAGATCTTGACCAATTAAACAATTTTACCCCATGTCACATTTGCTCTAAAAGATTTAGTTTTTGAGATATAAGCCAAAATCTGCATTTGACCCTTATGTTCTATTTTTAGCCATGGCTGCCATGTTTGTCAATGGATACAAACTTCTGATACAATTTATAAACAAGATACCCTAAGGAACATTAAGTTAAAGTTTGAAGGTAATTGGCCCAGTAGTTTCAGAGGAGAAGATTTTTAAATGTTAGCAAACTTGATGAACAAATTGTGTAAAATTGTCTTTAAAGGGCAATAACTCCTTAAGGGGTCAATTGACAATTATGGTCATTTAACTTTTTCGTAGATCTTACTTTGCTGAACATTATTGCTGCTTACAGTTTATATATATCTATAATAATATTTAAAATAATAACAAAAAACTGCAAAATTTTGTTAAAACTACCAATTCGGTGGCAGCAACCCAACAATGGGTTGTTTGATTCGTCTGAAAATTTCAGAGCTGATAGATCTTGACCAATTGAACAATTTTACTCCATGTCAGATTTGCTCTAAAAGCTTTAGTTTTTGAGATATAAGCCAAAAACTGCATTTGACCCCTATGTTCTATTTTTAGCCATGGCGGCCATGTTTGTTGATGGATCAAAACTTCGGATACAATTTATAAACTAGATACCCTAAGGAACATTTAGTTAAAGTTTGAAGGTATTTGGCCCAGTAGTTTCAGAGGAGAAGATTTTTGAAATAGTTTACGACAACAGACAACAACAACAGACGACGACGACAGACGACGACGACAGATGACGACAACAGACAACGACGACAGACGCCAATTGATGGCATAAGCTCACATGGGGCCCTTTGGGCCCCGGTGAGCTAAAAATCTAATATATGATTTTTTTTGTTCAATCATTAATGAAAGTGAAATAGTGAAATAATTATTCGCTTTTAGCCGACAGTATGGTTCAATTTTGTCAAAATAAGCTAAGAAACATTGATGATGAATTATTCACTTGCAAGTGAATAATTCGACCTCATTGATCCGTATTCATGTGAACTTCAATTTAACCCCTTAGCTAGAGACGGATAACATGTGAATTGTATGTGTAAAGTTATTTAAAGGTAAAGAATGTCAACATTGAAAGTGAAACAAAGGTAAATCATTTGATTGACTGATCTGATCCACAAAAAATCATTCTTAAACAGGTAAAAACAATGATAAACGTATATTTTTAATCTATTATATGAAATTAAACAGACCTAGAAAAATCCAATAGCACGAGTTCGCTTAATCTATTTATATCTTTATTTATGTTTACATTGCCTATATGGTCATCGGATGACTTTGAAGGTCAACTCGATAGTTAATTAGATGGCGTCTAGACTAAAATACACACGAAACGAAGCTACGTGTTATCATGCCCATGTCCTGTTAACTGTTTATTTTAGACTTTTAATAGTTTTGATAAATGTTTTACATTGTTATAAATCAAATATGAGAATTTGAGTCAAATCGGTGAACATGAATTTGACAGCTAGTGCCCCTTTAACATTGACCAATGAACCATGAAAATGAGGTCAAGGTCAGATGATACCTGCCAAACAGACATATACACCATACAATCATTCCATACACCAAATATAGTTGCCCTATTGCTTATAGTTTAAGAAAAACAGACCAAAAAATAAAAACTTAACACTGAGCAATGAACCAAGAAAATGAGGTCAAGGTCAAATAAAACCTGCCAGACTGACATGTACATCGTAAAATGTTTCCATACACCAAATATAGTTGACCTATTGCATATAATATTAGAAAAAAAAAAAAAAACACAAAAACTTAACTCTAACCACTGAATCATGAAAATAGGGTCAAGGTCAGACGACACCTGCCAGTTGGACATGTACACCTTACAATCATTCCATACACCAAATTTACTAGACCTATTGCTTATAGTATCTGAGATATGGACTTGACCACCAAAACTTAACCTTGTTCACTGATCCATGGAATGAGGTCATGGTCAAATGAAAACTGTCTGACAGGCATGAGGACCTTGCAAGGTATGCACATACTAAATATAGTTATCCTATTACTCATAAAAAGAGAGAAATTAACATTACAAAAAATCACACCTTTTTTTCAAGAAGTCACTGAACCATGAAAATGAGGTCAAGGACAATGGACATATGACAGACTGAAACTTCATAATATAACGCATCTATATACAAAGTATGAAGCATCCAGGTCTTCCACCTTCTAAAATACAAAGCTTTAAAGTAGTTAGTTAATGCAGATACCGCCACCACCCCTGCCTGGTCACTATCCCTATGTAGAGCTTTCTGCAGAGAAGTCACAACCTTGACCAAAATGAACATTTCAGGGCAATAACCCCAAAACGGGTTGTCTGAATTTTCTAAAAAAAATCCATTGAAGATAGCCCTTGTTCAGTTTTTCAATTTAATTCATTAAGTTTTGCTCCATCTGCTTTAGATTTTTAGATATAAGCCAAAAACTTCAGTTTTACCCCTATTCTATTTTAGCAATGGCGGCCATGTTCCAAGATGGATCAAATTTTAAACTAGATTTCCCAAGGAACATTCAAGTAAAATATGGTAAAATTTGGCACAGCATTTTCAGACGAGAAGATTCTAAAATAGGTTTACAACGAACAGACAACTGACGGACTGTGAGAAATTGCAATAGCTTACATGACCTTTTAGGCCAGATGAGCTAAAAAGTATAAAGTTCAACAATATAAACTAAAGCAAGAGCAACACAAACCCATCAAAATACAAGAGTGCACACGCTGAAATGTCTCGCCTTCTTTACTAATCATTGATATTATGTTGATAGTCCTAAATGAATGCTTAACTACAACTATTACATAAACTTAACATGATCCAAGAAAATGAAGTCAAGGTCATATAAACCAAACGAGAAATACATGTACACCTTACAATCATTCAATACACTAAATATAGTTGACCTATTGCTTATAGTTTCTAAGAAACAGACTTAACCAAGAAAACTAAACATTGACCAATGAATCGTGAAAATGAGGTCAAGGTCAGATGAACCATGCCAGGCAGACATGAACAGCTTACAATCCTTCCATACAACAAATATAGCTGAACTGTTGCTTATATTTTAAGAAAAACAGACTGAAACACATAAACTTAACACTGAGCAATGAACCGTGAAAATGAGGTCAAGGTCAAATACATTTTTGTAAAACCTGCGAGACTGACATGTACATCATAGAATATTTCCATACACCAAATATAGTTGACTTATTGCATATAGTATAAGAAAAAAGACCAAAACTCAAAAACTTAACTTTGACCACTGAACCATGAAAATGAGGTCAAAGTCAGATGACAACTGCCAGTTGGACATGTACACCTTACAATCATTCCATACACCAAATATAGTAGACCTTTTGCATAAAGTATAAGAAAAACGGACCAAAACACAAAAACTTAACTATAACCACTGAACCATGAAAATGAGGTCAAGGTCAGATGACACCTGCCAGTTGGACATGTACACCTTACAATCCTTCCATACACCAAATATACTAGAACTATTGCTTATAGTATCTGAGATATGGACTTGACCACCAAAACTTAACCTTGTTCACTGATCCATGAAATAAGGTTGAGGTCAAGTGAAAACTGTCTGACGGGCATGAGGACCTTGATAGGTATGCACATACCAAATATAGTTATCCTATTACTCATAATAAGAGAGAAATTAACATTACAAAAAATCACAACTTTTTTTTCAAGTAGTAACTGAACCATGAAAATGAGGTTAAGGACAATGGACATGTGACAGATGGATACTTCGTAACATAAGGCATCTATATACAAAGTATGAAGTATCCAGGTCTTCCACCTTCTAAAATATAAAGCTTTTAAGAAGTTAGCTAACGCTGCCGCCGCCTGATCACTATCCCTATGTTGAGCTTTCTGCGACAAAAGTCGCAGGCTCGACAAAAACTGAAGGTGATTTCAGGTACTCCACATTTGGCACTCATAATGTTGCTCATGGTAAGTACAAATTCGGTGATAAGTCTCATTTGGTAATGTCACAATTGAGGAAAAGAGGACGGGATTGCGGTTATGACAATTGGAACATATTTATGACACAGATATTCGTTAACAGTCAACCAACTCATGATAGCATCCATAAAACTTCTGAAGGGATGACTTCAACTTTACCACTTGGAAACCTTAGTTCAATAGCTTCATTTTAAACTAGAAAAAAATGGATAGTTCACAACTTGGATGCTGAAATCATCCCTTTTTTGTAGAGTGTTGTTCTCAACTAACCATCATTTCAAATTTTCTATGTATGTCAAGCTATGAGGCAGACTTAACTGTATCTGTTGTATCCTTTATTTCAAGTTCAATGGGGTAGATGTGTTCAACATAGTCTTCAATTTTTGCATTATTTAGTTAGAGGACATCAGCAATCTGAAATTAATTCTAAATGTGCTATTTTACCTGCAGCTATAATGTTCCCACACATCCAGAATGTAGCTAAGGCACTAATCATCATTCCTCTTTTTTCTTTTGGTTGAAATTCAGTGAAATATGAAAATATAACTGGTATGCTTCCTCCAACACTAGAACATAGAGATTGAAAGTATACATGAAAGATGTCTTTATTGTTTGCTTGTTTTTTTTGGGTTGCTGTCAAATTTATGGCCAAGATTTTTATTAAAGTTAACAGATGACAAACAATGGACACCAATGATGGCAATACATGTAGCTCACACTGGACCTTTGGGCTAGGTGAGCTAAAAATCACTATAAAATAGCAGGTAGACATCTTCATGTCTCGAAGAAGAATCTGTGCAAATTTGGTTAAAATTCTCTAAAGTAGTTTACAATAAGATCCAGATTAACAAAGTGTGATGGAGATGACAAAAGACAGAAGTGATCCCATGTGCCACTATTTTCTGGCAATACAATAAAGAGAGGGATCTGACGCAAGTCAAATTTTGACAAAGTTCAGGAATATTTTTTTAGCACACGGTCACCTGTTTGGAGATAAATACAGCATGATTAGAAATCAGTATAACCATTAACCAATTACCATTTTCTGAACAAAAAATTCCCTTATTTATAAATTTAGTTGTCATAAGTCAAGGCCAGTCAGTTGAAATCAATGTAGTAATACAACTGTATAAAATCAGGTAATTATGGCTGACCTTTCACCAATTTTCTAGCTGATCTTAATGCAATCAACTTTACAAGTACTTGTAATTTAGCTGATTTTAAGTATTTATCTTTGTAAAAAAAATCAAATCTGAGCTACTAGTATTACTTACCCAATTCCACTAATAAATCTGCAAAGTAGGAAGGCCCAGAATGATTGTACTACACTGGAGGCCAGAACTCCTAGTCCATTCACTGTCAGAGACCACATCAGAATTGACCTTCTTCCTTGGTGGTCTGCTAATGATCCCCAGAAATAACCTCCCAATAGCATACCTATTGAAAAACATGAGTTACAATGTCAATTAGAAAGAACCTTATTTTTTCTTAAAACTGACATGAGGTTCAAAATGAATAAAATAAAACTCTGTTTCAAACAAGTAAGGAGTCTTTATTTATATTTTATAATGTGAAACATATAACGTGATGGTACCCAAATTGCACCTATTTTGGCAGTTTTTTCACCTTTGTTTATTTATGAGCCAGACAAAAGTTTCCATTCTGTGTTTATTTTGTAGATGTATCCTTTTTTTCTACATAGTTACACCAATTTAATTTTAAATCCATATTGAATCATAGAAAAATGGGTTTGAACCGACCTTCAAACGATCCATGATTCTGTAATAAGGAATACCAACATTGCATCCATGCTTAAATTCACATCCTCAAAAATCGAATAACAGATGTTTTGTTTTATTTCTTCAAATATTTAGAACAATTTGACATTAGTCCATGCTTAGTATTCATTTTTTAAGAAATGGATACTTGTAACATAATTTATTTGCTCATTTTTAAAAGATGACTTTTTGTGGACGTCGCATGGCGATGTTTTCGTAGATTTTACTTTTTCCAGTGAATACTTTATCTGTTGATATATACTGTGAACGTTTTGTGTATATTTAAATAAGTTTACTTATTTGAAAGACGTGTATAATGTCAAATCATAAAAATACAAAAATGTTTAGTCTCAAAGAAAACTTGTAAGATTTCCGCTGCCATTTTTCCTGAATAGGTGCAATTTGGGTACTCGGTGCAATTTGGGTACTGTGACGTTAAATTTTTTTAAATGGTTATATTCTGTTTTATGCATACATGTTTGTGCTAATATATAATTGTTTCACCATAAATCCCCATTTAAATTATAGTTTATAATTAATTTCATTCTTCACAGATTTGTTGTTTACTGTTTTCATAAAACTGTTGGACTTCAAATTATTATCCATACCAATAAAAACAATAGCATTCAGCCATCCTTTATCTGTGGATCCAATGTCAAGGTCACAACTTGCTGCTGGTAAGAGGAATGAAACTGATAGCACTTCAATGGCATCACTGGATACTGCCCATCCACACAAGGCTAGTACCTTAAAATGGAATCTACCATAACCTATAATTACAAACATATTAAAATAATGTGGCACAATACGACTTATCACTATTTGTCCACCATTACTGGACATCACAGAAGTTCCTGTATAATTTGATGTCACAAGAGAAAATGTCTGACACCACAAAGAAAAAGTTGTTGTTGTATGATGTTGATAGTTCCAAGTGTTGCAAATTTTCCAGTCAAGTGTCGCAGATTTGCAAAAAGTCTATAGACAAAACCAATAATTAAGTATTAAACTTTGCCAACTATGAGGTTTATATACATGTAATTCATTCCAAAATGAAAAGTTTAAACATGTCAGCAATCTTGATTTCATTATACAGGCTGTGCATAATTCTCAAGTTTCTTAGGGATTATTTTGGGCGGGCAGACAATATTTCTTTTGAATTTTTATTTCATTATTTTACTTTATATATCAAATATACATGTAAAAATCAAATGATACATGAACTTTTCCCATTTATTTCAAACCAAAAAATTACTAACACAACAAATTAAGCTAAATGTTGCAAACATTGATTTTTGTCAATTGATATTGAAGTGCTATCTATGTGTGAACTGTCTCTTTGTCATGTATATATTTACACATCATGGAATATTATTGAGCCTCCCAAAAACTACCCCAAAAATGATTTTTTTCATACAGGGCACAATTATAACCACCTCCCCAAGTCTGCCATCATGTAAAATTTTTCAGTATAACAAGAAAGAACCAGAAAAATTGTGATATTCCATAAGTTTACAGTACAGCCTTATAGAAGATATTTTTTCTATTTGCCCGGTAACATATGTACCATAATTTTTACCGAATGTAGACAAAGTGTTTGTGTCCAGATTTTAAATTTCAGGTTTTTCAAAGTGTTTTGTTTGGTCCACTATTATAAATTTCTATTCCATTTTTTCAATAAAATATCTTACAGCATATTGTTTTTTATTGATGATGTGCATAAAAAAATTAAGGGGTACGCTCAGAAATCCAACTCTTACATAATATGATTGTTTATGAATGGTCAATAACACATTAAAAACACGATAAAATTAAGTATCTTTGAATTTGGACCTTGCACATTATGAAACCCTGTTTACATCACACTATACCTGTTTCTTTCAGCGCTTCTTCATATGGAACAGCATCAGGATTGACATCAGAATTTCCTTCTGAAATACAATAGTACATTTGATGTACAACTCACAAACTTACATTTAACTGTAAAAGATCATCTAAACCAGCGTTTTAATCTTTATAATTATGACCTGAAAATGTGTATTGCATTTATTGAATGCCATCTCACTCACCAGGTAATGTAGAAGACATCATATATTCACCTATTTATGTCCATTGACCTATTTTGGTGGGTCTCTTTATCAACGATACCACAACTCATTATTGCAATTCCCAAAACTTTTTTATAAATCACAAAACTAACTCTAGAATTAAAATGTTAAGAAACTATCGAATACCTTGCTTGGCTGTCATATAATCATTTGTGGTCATATTAATAAAAACATGATTTCTATAAACTTTTACACAAATCAGTTCTTTTGTCTGACAAAGTGTAAACCCAGCTTCAATTTATAATTATTCTCATAATGCAAGAACTGAATACTGCAAAAGTCTATGACTGAAACTGGGAAAATACTTGATAGTATAAATACACAAAAAAGTAGTTTGACGAAAATGGCAAATTTACAGTCACAGTGATCCATGACATGTTAATTAAAGCAACACAAATAAACGATTACCTCCCTTAATTACCATGAACCTTGTAATAAAGTTTGATATATTTCAGTCCTTGTTTTTCAATTAAGTACCTCTAAGTGTTAATGATGATTCTTGCATTATATCGGTAATTACCTCCTAAGTCATAGGTCTCATCCAAAGAGGAATACATAAATTTATATCTATACTTACCTGCTAAGTCATAGGTCTCATCCAAAGAGGAATACATATATTTATATCTATATCTACCTGTTAAGTCATAGGTCTCATCCAAAGAGGAATACATATATATATCGTTCAAATATAATAAAGTAGAAAATCTATAAATGGTACATTGTATACATGGATATGCTTGACAGGTTACACATTTCATTTAAATATATTAAAGTAAATATCAAAATAATCAAAAAAGACTGATTATTATCATAACTAAGTTAAGCGGAAATTATAGGCTGTCTAAAAGATTACATAATTTTATTTGTAAACTTGGCATTAAAATATGCTTTATGGAAACTAATGTAGTGCATCATGGGCAGAAGTACAAAAAAAAGGAAGCCAATAATTCAACATAAAACATCAATCTGATATTTGTGACAGTTTTTACAGTTTAAAATCTTAAAAATCTCTTATTAATTGTAAGATGAAGATGAATTTATATGATCTATTAGCAATGTCATTAGACAACATGTGGGTCTTAAATAATCAGGTTTTTAGGATCATTTCTTTTGAATGTATCACACCAAATTTTTTGCGTGTGTTGACATAAATTGTTGCCACTTTCTTCATAAGAACATAATAAGATTTTAGATTTTACAAAAGTTTGAAATTTGACCTTTATATATATCTGAAGTCCTCACAATTACATACTGTATATAAGACTGAGGCAGTGAGGCTACAGAATTTCAGATACAGTTTTATAATAATCAATAAAATCATTGAAAATAAAATTGCATTGCATATAAGGTAAAATTCAAGTTCTATCATCTCTTTGTAGGGTTCTATTTGTTGTTTTTATCATCTTTAAATGAAAATTTCTTGTGATGGATACAAATATAACAGAAAAGGTATACAAATCTTAAACATTATTTTTTCATCTTTTGTCCTATCTATAAAAAAATGCATGAAAATTATTTATACAATAAAATATCAAATCAATGTACTAATCTCAGATTATTTTCATACACTGCTGAATTTTTTCTGATTGGTCACCATCAGCTTTTGAAAACAATCATTCTGTAAAATTGATTGTTCCAGTTTGTAATTTATTTCCAATACAAAAATTGTTTATTGGAATACTTACAAATGTAATCCTTATTTGGTTTCAGACTCTTGAGGTCAAAAAAATTTATTTTTAGCAAATTGTTTCAATCATCAATCTGAATCAACAATTGTTTTAAAATATTTATATGAACTGTAGAACAAAAAAGTTGTTTGAAAGTATTTCTGTAGACTGTTTTGAGCAGTGATCCAAAAGGTAAACCCCAGGATATTAGTCTGATTGTCAGATAGTTGTATCCAGACCTTGCAGAGGATTTCACAAAAACCAATGCTTAAAAATGAGGTTTCACATTGCTGTATAGATTTCTGAGGATTTTAATTTCCAGCATTAAATTATTGTCTTCAATGGCTGACAGTAAGAAGAAGTGTTGTCTATACATGTAAGTTGATTAAAATAAATTGAAAATTTCACCAAACATTTTCAGTAGTATGCTTTGGGTTTGTAGTTCAATGATGGCAACCACTGGACTTTAAGCAACCAACAATCAATCAATCAATGAAGTCAGTGAAATAAAGTTTCAAATAAAGGCCAGTTGTCTCTATCAAAGTTCTCTTGGTTAAAGTTTTTGATGGATTTTTTTTATAGTGACAACATTCAAAGGGAACTTTGAACTAAAACTTTGCCGGAATTAGATGAATAGATTCTCAATACCTATATTTTGGCATTGCACAAGGTCATGTTTTTCTCTGACTGTTAAGGAAGTCTTTACACTAAATCCATTGGATGTTGGATGTGTACTGATTGATATTTTAGTCTTAGATACATGTACATGATTTTTTTATAAGTTCTATTGGCTTGAACTAGCTGTCAGTAACTGCAAGTACTCTCAGATCTGTACTTTGTGTCTTTTTTTGTTGTGAGGGATCTATAAATTCCCTGCTAACTCCGGTCTGTGTTTTTGTTAGTTGTTTACCCGATTTGTATCGATCTGATGAGTGAAGCCCTTGTCAACTGATTTTTATAGTTTGTTTTTATGTTGTACTGTTACACCACTGTCCCAGATAAGGGGGACGGTTTGACACCAGCAAACATGTTTAACCCCTCCCCATTCTGTATGTACCTGTTCCAAGTCAGGAGCCTGTAATTCAGTGGTTGTTGTTTGTTGCTGTATATCATATTTGTTTTTAATTTATTGTTTTGTACATAAATTAGGCCGTTTTCTCATTTGAATTGTTTTACATTTGTCATTTTGAGACCTTTTATAGCTTACAAAGCGGTATGAGTTTTTTTGCTCATTGTTGAAGGCCGTACGGTGACCTATAGTTGTTAACTTCTATGTTATTTGGTCTCTGATGGAGAGTTGTCTCATTGGCAATCATACCACATCTTCTTATTAAACTATTAACATGGTATAAATTGTCACAATTCCAAAAGAGATGCAATAAAGCATGCAACCACTAAAAGAATAAAAAAAAGAAGGAAAGTATAGAAATTTAAGGAATTACATAAAACTTAATTCCTCTGAGAATTTGAACTTTAAATTGATAATTTGTAAATGTATGTCATTAAAATAATATACTTACAAAACATGCTCCAAAAACAGAATATAAGAGTGAAAATGTGAAAATTGAATGACTGTCTGAGTGTGATAGTGTAAAATAATTATTACCTTGATTTGCAATGAGTGGGTCATACTCATCAGAACGAGTCATCTTGAAATTCTCTTCCATCAAAGATGACTGAAAAAAAAAGAACTTAATAATATAAAAGGTCCAGATTTTTTATATAAAGTGACCCCCATCTAATATTAAGAATGGTCTCAATATTAATAATTGAGAATTTGGTTGTTTCTGTTAAATTTATGTACGTCAACACAAGACATGAGGCAACTTAGAGCTTGTCATACTGTGCGAATAATTGTCCATTGTTGAAGGTCATATGCGTGACCTCTAGATTTCTGTTCAGCTATACATAGGTTATTTAGGATAGAAATTTACTCCTTTAAGTAGTCGTTGATGATTTCTGCCATTTGACTAGTTTGCAGATCTAATTTTTAGAACATTTTCGCTATTTACACAGGTGAAAACATTTAAATTAGACAAAAATCATCATTCAAGGGCAATAACTCCTTAAAATGGTCAATTAAGGATTTTGGACACCTTGTTTATTAGTACATATTTTTTTTGCTGATCATATTTGAAAACAAAAAAGCAAATAATTTTGCTGATATGTCTGAATAAGGGAGATTTACCATATATTTTTCAATTGGTTTATTATATGAAACATACAGTGTTCTCCCCAGGACCAGGGTAATCAAGGCGAACAAATTAGATTTATTTGTTGAACATAATTTGCATCGCGTCACAACACATTTCCTCTATCCTCCTTAGGGTTAGTTCCCATAGAGTGAATCCTTCTTTCTTATTACCTTTTATTTATTTTTTTATGTCATATACTTGTGATAAAGAGTAAATAAATGTGGATAGTGTCCACATGTGGACACAGATGATGCCCCCGCTTGCATAGCATATAGTTATAAAGGGACATAACTGAAGAACGGTAAAAGTGACGCTACCCAAATTTGAACTTGATCTGAGTTTTGTGGTAATAAGCATTGTGTGTAAGTCTCATAACATTTGGTTGAGGCTAACTTAAGTAGAGAAAAGAAACTAAAAATTCAGCAATTTTTCTATTTGTAAACACACATAACTCTAGAAGAGGGGCCTGATGGGTTATTTTCGTTCTTCGTGATTGGCGCATTTTCGTTATCGTGATCCATTTTTCTACAGATTAAACTCTTTTTATATTTTCGTGATCCGTGATCAGGTAAATTTATTTTCTGTGAATCGTGATTGACAAAAAAATCAACTCGTGAATCGTGATGAGACCCCCCCATCAGGCCCCTCCTAGAACGGTTGTGTATAAGTTTTATAACATTTGGTTGAGACAAACTAAAGTTAGAGAACGGAAATGAAAAATTCAGCAATTTTTATGTTTATAAAGGGACATAACTCAAGAATGGTAAAAGTGTTCTCACCAAATTTCGTACTTAATCTGTATTAAATAGTTATAAGCATTGTGAATAAGTTTCATAACATTTGGTTGAGGCAAACTAAAGTTAGAAAACAAAACAAAAAATTTGTACTTGATCTTAGTTTTGTGGTAATGAATATTGTGTATAGGTTTCATAATGTTTGGTTGGGGCAAACTTAAGTTACAGAATAGAAACTAAAAATTTTGCAATCTTTTGATTTATAAAGGGGCATAACTCAATAATGGTTAAAGTGACACTACCCAAATTCAACTTGATCTGTGTTTTATCAGTGGAAGTCAAAATTAAACATATCATTGTATAAAGCATTGATTGTAGTTAATTCAACTATAATTATGTACAAAGGAAGATAACTCAAATTTTAAAAATTACTTGATATTTAGAAGAAAATAAAAATTTTGCAATTTTTCCATTTAGAAAGGGGCATAACTCTAAAACGGTTAAAGTGACGCCACCAAAATTCAAACTTGCTCTGTGTTTTGTAGTCATAAGCATTGTGTATAAGTTTCATAACTTTTGGTTGAGGCAAACCTAAGTAAGAGAACGGAAACTAAAAATTTTGCAATTTTTCCATTTATAAAGGGACATAATTCTAGAACGGTTAAAGTGTCGCCACCAAAATTCAAACTTGATCTGTGTTTTGTGGTAATAAGCATTGTGTATAAGTTTCATAACATTTGGTTGAGGCAAATTCAAGGTAGAGAACGGAAACCAATTTTGGTACGTACGTACGGAAGGACAAGGGTAAAACTTACTGCCCCCACCGCTACGACGGGGGCATAAAAACTAAAAAATTTACAACATGGTTTTAAAGTATTAAATTTTTACTGAGAAAACTTGACTTACTAATATAAATGTTGGCTGATTAAGTAAAATTGTTAAGGATAAATCATGTGAAAGATTTTAGTAAGTATACTCTGAAATCAAACAAAGGTAAACTCTTGACTTATTTTTCAATTAAATTTTTTGGGGTAAAAAAACCAATTCCATTGGAATTGAAAGAATCTAAAGATAGGCAAGCATTATTCAAGATCAGAATAAGTGCACACTCCCTAAAAATAGAGACAGATAAATGTGCAAAAACTATAGATAGATCACAAAGGCTATGTAAAATAAAAATGTGGATAGTGTCCACATGTGTCCACAGATGATGCCCCCGCTTGCATATCATATAGTTATAAAGGGATATAACTGAAGAACGGTAAAAGTGACGCTACCCAAATTTGAACTTGATCTGAGTTTTGTGGTAATAAGCATTGTGTGTAAGTCGCATAACATTTAGTTGAGGCTAACTTAAGTAGAGAACAGAAACTAAACATTTAGCAATTTTTCTATTTGTAAACTCGCATAACTCTAGAACGGTTTTGTATAAGTTTCATAACATTTGGTTGAGGCAAACTAAAGTTAGAAAACAAAACAAAAAATTTGTACTTGATCTTAGTTTTGTGGTAATGAATATTGTGTATAGGTTTCATAATGTTTGGTTGGGGCAAACTTAAGTTACAGAATAGAAACTAAAAATTTTGCAATCTTTTGATTTATAAAGGGGCATAACTCAATAATGGTTAAAGTGACACTACCCAAATTCAACTTGATCTGTGTTTTATCAGTGGAAGTCAAAATTAAACATATCATTGTATAAAGCATTGATTGTAGTTAATTCAACTATAATTATGTACAAAGGAAGATAACTCAAATTTTAAAAATTACTTGATATTTAGAAGAAAATAAAAATTTTGCAATTTTTCCATTTATAAAGGGGCATAACTCTAAAACGGTTAAAGTGACGCCACCAAAATTCAAACTTGCTCTGTGTTTTGTAGTCATAAGCATTGTGTATAAGTTTCATAACTTTTAATTGAGGCAAACCTAAGTAAGAGAACGGAAACTAAAAATTTTGCAATTTTTCCATTTATAAAGGGACATAATTCTAGAACGGTTAAAGTGTCGCCACCAAAATTCAAACTTGATCTGTGTTTTGTGGTAATAAGCATTGTGTATAAGTTTCATAACATTTGGTTGAGGCAAATTCAAGGTAGAGAACGGAAACCAATTTTGGTACGTACGTACGGAAGGACAAGGGTAAAACTTACTGCCCCCACCGCTACGACGGGGGCATAAAAACTAAAAAATTTACAACATGGTTTTAAAGTATTAAATTTTTACTGAGAAAACTTGACTTACTAATATAAATGTTGGCTGATTAAGTAAAATTGTTAAGGATAAATCATGTGAAAGATTTTAGTAAGTATACTCTGAAATCAAACAAAGGTAAACTCTTGACTTATTTTTCAATTAAATTTTTTGGGGTAAAAAAACCAATTCCATTGGAATTGAAAGAATCTAAAGATAGGCAAGCATTATTCAAGATCAGAATAAGTGCACACTCCCTAAAAATAGAGACAGATAAATGTGCAAAAACTATAGATAGATCACAAAGGCTATGTAAAATAAAAATGTGGATAGTGTCCACATGTGTCCACAGATGATGCCCCCGCTTGCATATCATATAGTTATAAAGGGATATAACTGAAGAACGGTAAAAGTGACGCTACCCAAATTTGAACTTGATCTGAGTTTTGTGGTAATAAGCATTGTGTGTAAGTCGCATAACATTTAGTTGAGGCTAACTTAAGTAGAGAACAGAAACTAAACATTTAGCAATTTTTCTATTTGTAAACTCGCATAACTCTAGAACGGTTTTGTATAAGTTTCATAACATTTGGTTGAGGCAAACTAAAGTAAGAAAACGGAAACAAAAAATTTGTACTTGATCTTAGTTTTGTGGTAATGAATATTGTGTATAGGTTTCATAATGTTTGGTTGGGGCAAACTTAAGTTACAGAATGGAAACTTAAAATTTTGCAATCTTTCGATTTATAAAGGAGCATAACTCAATAATGGTTAAAGTGACACTACCCAAATTCAACTTGATCTGTAATTTATCAGTGGAAGTCAAAATTAAACATTGCATTGTATAAAGCATTGATTGTAGTTGATTCAACTATAATCATGGACAAAGGAAGATAACTCCAATTTTAAAAATTACTTGATATTTAGAAGAATAAAAATTTTGCAATTTTTTCCATTTATAAAGGGCATAACTCTAGAACGGTTAAAGTGACGCCACCAAAATTCAAATTTGCTCTGTGTTTTGTGGTAATAAGCATTGTGTATAAGTTTCATAACATTTGGTTGAGGCAAACTTAAGTAAGAGAACGGAACCTAAAAATTTTGCAATTTTTCCATTTATAAAGGGGCATAACTCTAGAACGGTTCAAGTGACGCCACCAAAATTCAAACTTGATCTGTGTTTTGTGGTAATAAGCATTGTGTATAAGTTTCATAACATTTGGTTGAGGCAAACTCAAGTTAGAGAAAGGGAACCAATTTTGGGACGTACGTACAGACAGACAAGGGTAAAACTTAATGCCCCCTCCGCTACGGCTGGGGCATAAAAATGCATCATGGATAAAGTTGAAGTTGAAGAACATTTTATATTTGAATGTCTCCTTTTTAATCTTTTGAGAAAATTTTTGATAAGTTGTAAAAATTTTGATGCATTAAACACAAGTGCTAGGTTCAATTGGCTTTTTATTCAAGAAAACCTGGAGGTATTAAAATTTATTGGAACTTATATCCATGTATTGCCCCAACTACTGATTTAAAAATATTTCAAATCATATATTGGTAAATAATCTTTAACGTATTTTTTAAGTTATTTTGAATTTTAACTAGCTCCTGACTGGTATTTGGATTACTGAAAATTACTGTTTGATGTTGCTTGTGTGCTGTAATTTCATAAATATATTGGTCTGAAACCCTCTTAAAAAATAATTTGTCTTCCCTAGTCCAAGCATGCACACTTCCTTTTTAAATTTTTCGGTTCCACTTGCATCGTGTCATTTCTCCTTGATCTTATAGATTAATGTTACTTAGTCAAGAAGATCAACTGTCGAATTTTAATGTGTATTTGGTTAGGAATAATGTGTATAAATTTATTATAAACAATAAATTTGATTTTTATATGACAAAACAAGTTCTCAATTTTCTGGGCAAAACAACCCAGTGTGAAAACAACCCATAACCCTTGGAATGTACCAAAATATTCATTGTATCTAAAGTAAACTAAAGTATTTATAAACTAGAATTAATTCAAAAGATGATAATTTAGGATTGCAAAAATATATTATCAGTAAATATAAATAAATCTATTAATAGCAGTCATTGCCCTCGAATGAGGATTTTTACCCATTTTTTGACATTTTGGGGGTATCATAGTAGCTTGAGAGGAAAGGTTAGTTAGTTTAAACATATTTCATTGTTCAAAAAGGACAAACGGGAGGAGGAAAGGTTTATAGCAAATATAGATAATGGGGAAATCAGCAATTCAAAGTAACCAGATTTTGAGTTGTTTACAGACATACATGTATATACACATCATTCCCTGGTATTGGTGGCATTTAGGATACCATACTGCTATCTTACTTGCTGCTGACATGCGAAGGGCAAGGTTGGGCGGTAAATACCACCCCGGGTATTTACCAGTGGTATTTACCGATATTTACCGCCCCGGTCAATACTCCTCAAGTGGTCAATACTGGCAAATACTGGACAATTGAAATTTTCATGGTTCTTTTGACAGATTTTACTATCAATGTTAGTTAAATCTTAGTTGATAAGGGAAATTATTTTAACTTTATTCATATGGCATGATTCAGTTTATAAAAAAGGATTGATATTGGTATGTTTTATCAACTATTAGCATGAATAATGACTTATTCAGTTCTTATGGGTAATGATATAACATAGTTTATAAGGTATGGATATAAAATTGCTATATCAGTTATTTCAACATGTATAAAATATATATATATATTTTTTTCTTGAAAAGGTTTGATTTTAACAGGTAAATAGAATTACAGGTGACTAGATTATCAGGGCATTACCTATTATACGGCAAGCAGGTGTCAAAAGTTTATTCAATATTACAACTGTTCCCTAATAAATGTTGACATAACAGGAAAAAAGTCATAAAAGTTATTTTTGAAGACTGTTTAAAACAATTATTTTATTCCTGACTATTCAACTGCATGATAAATATCTTCTAAAACTAAATACAGAAAATGGAAATTTTGAAGGATCTATACTTTTGCTGCTGTTTTTCTTTTTCTTTAATTTTATTCAAATAATCACTGTCCATGATGTGTTCATGTAAAATTTCAATTTATATAAGAAAAGATAACATTAAAAAAGTCTAATTTTGACTTGAAAACTTTCATATTTTCATGGCTAACAGTTATTGAATGTAGGGCTTAATATCACAGGACAGAAAGTCACAATGCAATTTTGAAAGAACTGTTTCTTTGATTAAGAAAAGACTAATTTTTAAGACATTGTTTTATTACATTTGATGAAATTACTGTTAAGAAAATAAGCTGTCATAGTCTTTTTCTTGACTGGCTTCATGGTACCAAGAAATATCCTTTGTAGGATTAATATTTAATAAATCTTCATTTAACCATGTTCATTATCAATCTCATAAACATTACAATGAATTCATTTCAAGGATTTTCCCGTACATATTCAAAAACTTGTTAACTAATTAATTGTGACTTTTTGTCCTTTACAATGTAGTAAATAAGTGACTTTCTGTCCTGTGAATATATTTGTCCATTTACCCTGTAGTTGACCAGGTAGGGACTGTATTTAATAGTAATATCTTATCAAAATTTCAATTGACCAGTATTTCCCGGTATTTACCGCCGGCCTGGTCAATACTAGTATTGACCGCTTTTTTGCCAACCTTGGCGAAGGGCTGTAAACATGCTGAACCTTTTGGACTAGACAACTTTATATATATCTTTAATACAACTATGTATCTATTATATTTTTTTCTCAATACCTTTTTAATCTGTATCTAAATAAAATTTTCCAGCTGAGACAGGAAAAAAGTTACACAAGTTAAGGTAAACAAATGAAGTTATCCCTCTTTGTACTGGCTCTCTCCCCTCATGTTAATGTTTCTATATTTGTTCTGAATCATTTTTTAAATACACACAAATGTATTAACAATCAGTATGTAGGTTAGATTGCATGTGTGGATTTTGTATGAACTTTGTGATTTGTATTAATTTATATGCTCTATTTGGACCCTTTCATTAGGAATAAAGACATCTGATTTTGATTTGATTTGTAAAGAGCCACGCTTGCATTGTGTATTATAAAAACTTAAGCTGCCTAAATATTTACTTAAGAAAGTTATATATCACTTCATTTTATTGAATGTTATTTGTTTTAATCTCAAATTATAATGTTATTGTCATGTCAAATGTTTATGTCCTTCAGGGCCCCCTTCTTTACAATGTATATGCCACTATAAAGAAAGATTACTAAAGATTACTTACTTAATACACAAATAGATGAACATCTGTATACCATAATATATCTGGCTTTGGTAAACATATAACACTTTTTGATCAATTAAGAATTTAGAATTATGTAATCAATAGTGTAGACAAAAAATAAGATTATAATAATCAGCCGCATGCAGGTTTACATTGCATTTTCTACAGACAACTTTCGAATACGAGCATGTTTCCGTAAATTTCATGTCACAAAATAAAATTAATGCTAATGCTATTACATCACAGTAAATACTGAATGTCAATGAAGTCGTTCACGCTGATTGACCTTAGGTTAACCTGTGTAACTCATTCATAAAAAAACAATAACTTGTGATTGGTGTATTTATTAGGATCCATCTATCTTCGTATTTCCACACTCAGTCAGAACTTTGTATATTTCTTGGATGTTTTATATCCCTATCTAAATTTAGAGAGTCTCAAGGAAAGTTGTATAAAAGGGGAAAATAGTATAGAAGACAAGTCTTTACTTACTAATAGCGAGCTACCATTTGATTTTTATGGGGGGCTAGGATGAAAAATTTTGTCCTGCTTTTTTTTTTAGTTGTAATCTCTGTCCTGCATTTTTATTTTTTACTCTATTCGGTCCTGCCTTTTTTTTACTAGTTTATCCTGAATTTTTTTACACAAATTGTCATCCTGCCTATTTTTTTTACCAAGTTGCTCATCCTGCCTTTTTTTTACTCAAAACTCCTGTCCTGCCTATTTTTTTCAAATTTCATCCTAGCCCCCCCCCCCCCCCCCCTCCCCATAAAAATCAAATGGTAGCTCCCTTACCATCAAGGATGTGTAAAGTACCGTCACTTATACTAGAATAGTAGAAAGTTTAGACAAAATTACCGTCTATAGACTATACACAGCCTTATTTCCAAATATGCCAGATGTCAGTGTACAGAATGAAAAACAAAAATAAATATCTTACCATTCATATGAATCTGTTAATGATTTACGTGTAAAACATTTAGTTGTAGGTTCATTGACCGTCAAATGTTGTATTGATGTTTGTGATGACAAAATTCTATTTTTTGACATGTAAACATTTGTTTAATTTTGGAATGCATTCCGGAAAAAATCCGGAATCGTTCCGGATGTTCCCGCCATGTGCAAATTTTGAAAATGGCTGACATAAGAGCAACATTTGTTTCACAGAAAATCAGCAAAATTAGATGGAAAAACATTGTAAAAAATAGTCTTCAGGGTCCAGACACGTTTGTAACAGGAAGCTGGGATGATGAGGTCATTATTTATCATAAATTTAATGATTCTTACAGTGTATAAACACAAAACCTTTAACAATTTGCTACATTTTGCCTGTTATTCTTGAATTTTATGTATTTGAGCTGTAGAAATAGACAGCATATGATTTTAAAAGCAAGTTCCATTCAGGAATAGTACAAAAGGTTGCAAGCCACTTAAAAGAATGTCAAACTGATAATATTTTATGGCATCTTTTTATTTTGAAACTAAAAATAAATTGGGTAAGACTTTACAATTTTTAGGAGAGTTCCAGGGAATTATAGTTATCTCGTACAATTGTAAACTCGTACCAATATCAACTCGTACCACTAAAAAAAAACTCGTATCAATGCAAACTCGTACCACTGCTAACTCGTACCACAGTAAATTCATACCATTGTAAACTCGTACCAACTTATTTAAATCAAGGATTTGTATAGTGAGAAGGATTGGAATCTCGCGGTATATCGACACTTCTCGCGTATCGTGAGATGTTGCGTACTCGCCACTATAAATTTATACGCGCCTGTTAGTAAATATCCGGTCGAATAGCGCGAATTGCAAGATAATCATTTCTGACTTGTTTGTTGTTAGGTTTAGTTTATTTTAGCATCTTTGATCAATATTTTGTTTTAATTCGCAAAGATATCACGATTCCTTCTGAGTATGTCATATTGAGGACCTCTCTCAAGCTGGAAAATAAACTTTGATAGTCGTTTACATTTGGCAGTTGCCGAAAATTATCGTAATTATGTTGTTTTTTTTCTTGTGATCGTAATTTGAATAGCCCAACACATCTTTATGATACTTGTAATAGCTGTTTAAGATAACCCCAAAGAGAAGGTCAAAACAATTATTTATTTTCGCAGCTTGTCTTTGTCCTTTCTTCTAGTATATGAAACTGACCCAGCATTGACCATGTTGACAGTTAGAGGAAATCATACAGTCTTCAAGAATAGTCAGTCTCCATACAATATCTGTATGTTGATTTTTTATCATAGTTAAGTTATGAATAAATTTAACAGAATCAATATACATGTACAAATGTAAGGTCCGCAACAAATGAGAAATTGAATGAATTCATTGATTTTCAAGAATTCTCGTCTGTTCAAACTGCAAATACATGAGTTGTAACTGGAACTATAGAGGTTTGAGTTCATTGAAGGACTGGCAGTAAGTTAAAAATAAGTTCATGATTATAAACAACAGTAAAATAGAAACTGAAATGATATGGAGTAAGGCCAAAATAAAAATATTCGTGTCCGCTCCTTCATCGAATAAAACTTAATGTTTGTCGTCTTTGTGTTTGAAAGTAACTGTGAATAAGATTAAAAGAAAGCGTGTAAGAGACGCAGTTAATCGATATTCGATGTTCTCGGTTTTTATCTTCTGATTTAACGAACGTAAAGAAGGAAAACATGTGAAAATGGCAGACAGTTTTTCTTGGCTTTTGATTGTCTCTACAAAGGTTTGACGGGAAAAAAAGATACAGTCGATTCCGGTTATTTGCATAGCCTATTTGTCAGACAAAATTATGCAATTAAGCGGAGTATGCTTATATCCGAAATGCCAAATTACGGAGTCAAATAACATCGACAGTAAAGGAAATCCCTGAAGAAAGATGAACGGCCATAATCCACTTACAGCATGTTGAATGTTGATTTATTCTAATAAAAGTTATAAGTCTAGTGTTATTCATGTTATTGTATTTTGTATTCTTTTAATAAAGTTTATAAACACATTTTGTTTTAGTTTATTTGCGTACCGACGTTTCCTTTACCTGGGATACAAAATTAGAACAAATTGTTCTAAAAATAGATTTGTTTCTATGACCCGTATGTACAATGTACATCATTACGCTTTGATTAAAATAAACTGTTCAACTATACTACACAGTTTATTATCATTTTTAACAATAAATGTGTAATGAACTGCCTTTGATATGCAGTATTTAAAGCTTGCACAGTGATGTAACACTGTTTCTTTAACCTCGTTAATTTCGTATATGCAAAGCAGTAAAGGGGCCCGTACGGGTTATTTGCTGGACACGAGTGTTGAACGTGTGAAAATATAATAATTTGAAGTGAATGCTCTTTTCCAAAAAAAATTAAAAAAAAAGATTGACGAATAAAATTCTTTATCCATATATAAATACCCTGTAATGTTTAACATAAATGCAAATCACCCCGAGCCAAATTGCGAGTGTACACATTGGATGGTCTTTCAAAGTAAATTACTTAATTAGCAGGCATTATTGTTTTTAAAATTCACCCCAAATGTTATCTATGGACAATGCTTAAAATCCAATCAATAATAAACACCTTTATGGATAGAATGGTCATGTTTTTACAACAATTACCTGTTTGACATTTTATGACCTCGAGGCTTAAAATAGAACATGGGAAACTTCACCTGTGTACACATCGAGGGTTATTTAAAGTAAAACTCAATCATCAGTTTGATCATATAAACACGAAAGAAACTGTTTTAAAACTTTATTTTTTATTTAATATTTTCATGCAAATTCTGATAAAAAAAAAAAAGAATTTGCCTACCTACCTACCCACACCCAGTCATCATGGGTCGGGTTTGGGCAAACTGAAATATTTTTAATTGTGGCCTAAATGTACATGTACATGGGACTAAATCGCATCCAATACATAGAAAACATAGAAAATTATCAATGAACATGGCTTTTATTCCTGTTCTTCATCTTGACAGTTGATGTAGGGTCTTCAACAATGAATGTATCATTCATATCCTAAAATCAATGGTTGTACCCATTGCAAGTACAAGTAAATTTCCCTTGTGAAAAACATTAGTAACACAAGCAACTAATAGCATTTTTGGAATAACTTTGATGGGTTATCTGCTTATTGTGTCATACACCCTACTCATAATTTGTTTCACATTTTTCACGTTTGTGGCCTTTTAGAGACAACTATACAATATGGGTTTTTCTCATTGTTGAAGGCTGTACAGTTGCCTATAATTGCTTACATCAACTTCATTTGAATTTGATGGATAGTTGTCTCATTGGCATTCATACATCTCCTTATTTTTTTATTGGTAAAGATTAGACATTTTTTATTAGCTCACCTGGCCCAAAGGGCCAAGTGAGCTTTTCTCATCACTTGGCGTCTGTCGTCGTCCATTGTCGTTAACTTTTACAAAAATCTTCTCCTCTGAAACTACTTGGCCAAATTAAACTAAACTTAGCCACAATCATCATTGGGGTATCTAGTTTAAAAAATGTGTCTGGTGACCCAGCCAAACCAACTAAGATGGCCGCCATGGCTAAAAATAGAACATAGGGGTAAAATGTAGATTTTGGCTTATATCTCTGAAACCAAAGCATTTAGAGCAAATCTGACACGGGGGTAAAATTGTCAATCAGGTCAAGATCTATCTGCCCTGAAATTTTCAGATGAATCGGACAACCCGTTGTTGGGTTGCTGCCCCTGAATTTGTAATTTTAAGGAAATTTTGCCGTTTTTTGTTATTATCTTGAATATGATAATAGATAGAGATAAACTGTAAACAGCAATAATGTTCAGCAAAGTAAGATCTACAAATAAGTCAACTTGACCAAAATGGTCAGTTGACCCCTTAAGGAGTTATTGCCCTTTATAGTCAATTTTTAACCATTTTTCGTAAATTTTACAAAAATCTTCTCCTCTGAAACTACTAAGACAAATTTAACCAAACTTGTCCACAATCATCATTAGGGTATCTAGTTTAAAAAATGTGTCTGATGACCCCGCCTGCGAACCAAGATGGCCGACATGGCTAAAAAATAGTACATAGGGTAAAATGCAGTTTTTGGCTCATATCTCTGAAACCAAAGCATTTAGAGCAAATCTGACGGGATAAAATTGTTCATTATGTCAAGATCTATCTGCCCTGAAATTTTCAGACCAATCAGGCAACACGTTGTTGGGTTGCTGCCCCTGAATTGGTAATTTTAAGAAAATTTTGAAGCTTTTGGTTATTATCTTGAATATTATTATAGATAGAGATAAACTGTAAACAGCAATAATGTACAGCAAAGTAAGACCTACAAATAAGTCAACATGACCAAAATGGTCAATTGACCCCTTAAGGAGTTATTGCCCTTTATAATCAATTTTTAACAATTTTCATAAATTTTATAAATTTTTACAAAATAATTTCAACTGAAACTACTGGGCCAAGTTCATTATAGATAGAGATAATTGTAAGCATCAAGAATGTTCAGTAAAGTAAGATCTACAAACACATCACCATCACCAAAACACAATTCTGTCATGAATCCATCTGTGTCCTTTGTTTAATATGCACATAGACCAAGGTGAGCGACACAGGCTCTTTAGAGCCTCTAGTTAGCATTAAGAGCATATATAAGTGGACAATCATTTCATTTTTAGGGGGAAGGCAGGAGGATTTCTCTTGGACAGATTATTCACAAATAGTCAATATTATTTCATTTTTGTCGAGCCTGCGACTTTTGTCGCAGAAAGCTCGACATAGGGAAAGTGATCCGGCGGAGGCGGCGGCTACGGCGGCGGCAGCGTTAGCTAACTTCTTAAAAGCTTTATATTTTAGAAGGTGGAAGGTCTGGATGCTTCATACTTTGTATATGGATGCTTCATGTTACGAAGTTTCCGTCAGTCACATGTCCAATGTCCTTGACCTCATTTTCATGGTTCAGTGACTACTTGAAAAAAAAGTTAAGATTTTTTGTAATGTTAGATTCTCTCTTATTATAAGTAATAGGATAACTATATTTGGTATGTGCGTACCTTGCAAGGTCCTCATGCCCGTCAGACAGTTTTCACTTGACCTCGACCTCATTTCATGGATCAGTGAACAAGGTTAAGTTTTGGTGGTCAAGTCCATATCTCAGATACTATAAGCAATAGGTCTAGTATATTCGGTGTATGGAAGGACTGTAAGGTGTACATGTCCAACTGGCAGGTGTCATCTGTCCTTGACCTCATTTTCATGGTTCAGTGGTCAAA